GTGGTGCGCGTCGTCAGTCCGGCACGGTCCGTGCCTGTTCCACCGGTGCCTAATCCGGCACCGGTCAGCTGCTCCACACCGGAGCCGGATCCGCCTCCGAGGCGGAATGCCCACCCGGCCCCTACCCTCTTGTGTTTGGTTGGCGCGTTCGCAGTCCGCGCCTTTGGGGGGGGGGGGGGTACTGTCACGCCCTGGCTCTGGGGACTCTTATATGTTGAGCCAGGGTGTGGATTTTCTATGTGTTATTTTCTATGTTTTGTTCTAGTTCATGTATTTCTATGTTGGCCAGGGTGGTTCCCAATCAGAGGCAGCTGTTGCTTGTTGTCTCTGATTGGGGACCATACTTAGGCAGCCTGTTTGGCACTGTTTATTGTGGGATCTTGTTCCGTATGGTTTGTTTTGGTGTTAACCTAGGACTTCACGTATCGTTTGGTTTGTTGTTTTTGTGTTAAGTACGTTAATTAAATAAAATGTACGCTTACCACGCTGCGCCTTGGTCCGCTTCTTATAACGATCGTGACAGCTACATTTTGTTCTGGAGGTGGTCACAGGCTGTTAGTGTCCATCAGGCTGCTTTCATGTCAGACATACATTGCTGGGGTGGCGTGTAATGACGGCAATGGAGTTCAGCTGTGCCAGTCCAGATCCTACATAGCGTGCCACCAGCCACCAGGGCTCTTGGAGGGGAGGGGGTTCTCTGGGCTCTCTTCTTCTGGTACTGTGCCTCTGGATCTCATTTCCCCCTCCATGGCTCCAAGTGCATGAAAAGAGAAAGCTTGATCATGTTAGGCACAGTTAAGTCACCACTGAAAAGGGGGATATGCCAGCATGACAGTGTAATGACATTAGCCCACAATGGGTACATTATTGTTCCAACTGAGGAGTATTTTATTGTTACAGGGGTTTTATGTGTGATGAATGTTCATTATTGCTGAATATTACAAAGGAAAAATAGATCATGAAAAATTAGGGATTTGCCTTCAGTAACTCGAGTAGTGCATAACACGACTTCACAATTGCATATTGTTCACTATGCAAAGCACAACACAATGACATAATTAAGTGATAATGCCTGAGAAGCTGGTGTATTGGCACGTGCCAATATGTATCTATGGATGGTACCCAGTCGTTCGTTCTAAATGTTCTATTGCCATACTGGCTGGCAACGTTCTTATCCCTTACTTGCTAGCTAGCCAACTACGGCTAAGTTACAGTCACGTGAAACAGTGCAGCCAGAATAACAACAAAGTAGCTGCATTTGCATTTGTTTAAGCTGTTTTCTAGTGACATTTATTTGGATACAGCCATAATGTTGAGCTAATGATGCGCGATTTCACCTGGCATAGAAAATGTTCTCTTTCGTCAGGACACTGTTGTTCAGAGGAGCTAGCCAACAATACAGCTAACACAATCACTTCAAACTGAAGCTGGAAAGACTGCAAACTAGCTGCACTTCGTTTCGTTTTGCCTGTTTTCTATTGACATTTCTTTGTACAGTTGAAGTCGGAAGTTTACATACACTTAGGTTAGAGTCATTAAAACTTGTTTTTCAACCACTCCACAAATTTCTTGTTAACAAACTATAGTTTTGGCAAGTCGGTTTGGACATCTACTTTGTGCATGACACAAGTAATTTTTCCAACAATTGTTTACAGACAATTTCACTTATAATTCACTGTATCACAATTCCAGTGGGTCAGAAGTTTACATACACTAAGTTGACTGTGCGTTTAAACAGCTTGGAAAATTGCAGAAAATGATGTCATGGCTTTAGAAGCTTCTGATAGGCTAATTGACATCATTTGAGTCAATTGGAGGTGTACCTGTAGATCTATTTCAAGGCCTACCTTCAAACTCAGTGCCTCTTTGCTTGACATCATGGGAAAATCAAAAGAAATCAGCCAAGACCTTAGAAAGAAAATTATGGTTCATTCTTGGGAGCAATTTCCAAATGCCTGAAGGTACCACGTTCATCTGTACAAACAATAGTACGCAAGTATAAACACCATGGGACCACGCAGCCGTCATACCGCTCAGGAAGGAGACGCGTTCTGTCTCCTAGAGATTAACATACTTTGGTGCGAAAAGTGCAAATCAATCCCAGAACAACAGCAAAGGACCTTGTGAAGATGCTGGAGGAAACAGGTATAAAAGTATCTATATCCACAGTAAAACAAGTCTTATATCAACATAACCTGAAAGGCCGCTCAGCAAGGAAGAAGCCACTGCTCCAAAACTGCCATAAAAAAGCCAGACTACGGTTTGCAACTGCACATGGGGACAAAGATTGTACTTTTTGGAGAAATGTCCTCTGGTCTGATGAAACAAAAATAGAACTGTTTGGCCATAATGACCATCGTTATGTTTGGAGGAAAAAGAGGGATGCTTGCAAGGCGAAGAACACCATCCCAACCGTGAAGCACGGGGGTGGCAGCATCATGCCGTGGGGGTGCTTTGCTGCAGGAGGGACTGGTGCACTTCACAAAATAGATGGCATCATGAGGAAGGAAAATTATGTGGATATATTGAAGCAACATCTCAAGACATCAGTCAGGAAGTTAAAGCTTAGTCGCAAATGGGTCTTCCAAATGGACAATGACCCCAAGCATGCTTCCAAAGTTGTGGCAAAATGGCTTAAGGACAACAAAGTCAAGGTATTGGAGTGGCCATCACAAAGCCCTGACCTCAATCCTATAGAAAATGTGTGGACAGAACTGAAAAAGCGTGTGCGAGCAAGGAGGCCTACAAACCTGACTCAGTTACACCAGCTCTGTCAGGAGGAATGGGCCAAAAGTCACCCAACTTATTGTGGGAAGCTTGTGGAAGGCTACCCAAAACGTTTGACCCAAGTTAAACAATTTAAAGGCAATGCTACCAAATACTAATTGAGTGTATGTAAACTTCTGACCCACTGGGAATGTGATGAAATAAATAAAAGCTGAAATAAATCATTCTCTCTACTATTATTCTGACATTTCACATTCTTAAAATAAAGTGGTGATCCTAACTGACCTAAGACAGGGAATTTTTACTAGGATTAAATGTCAGGAATTGTGAAAAACTGAGTTTAAATGTATTTGGCTAAGGTGTATGTAAACTTCCGACTTCAACTGTATATATCCATAGAAATGATGCTGACTCATGATTTCGACTAGCTGAGAAAAGCTGCCTGCCTGTCTGTCTCAGCCTGACTCCCGACCCCTACACGTTCATTACTTTGGGACAGCTGGAGATCGAATTTCAATATTGAAACAATGTTGCAAATGTCAGAGAGACAGACAGCAAGGTTTATACAAATCTCCGCTATTGAAAACCAATTGCTAGTCTGAAAGAAATGGGAGATAATGTCTAGATGCTTTTTACAGTGGAGATCAAGTTTATAAATTGTCTGGCTGGGCTGATGAGACAGTGGATTGCACAGTGAGATGGAACAGAGTAAATAGGCATTTCAACGTCATAACTTTAGCCTGTGGTAATTTGTGGAATAGACACCGGCTGGAATGCAGTTTTAACCAATCAGCATCCAGGATTAGACCCACCCATTGTATAATAAGAACTAAACAATGGGAAGAGGATAATATTATAGAAACTGTCTACTAAGTCTTCCCTATCTTTCCTCTTGTTTTAAAAACACATTTTTTCACGGAGGTTAAGCTGAATTCTTGAAATTGTTTCTTCTTGAAGATAAATGCTCTGTGAGTGGACTTACTGAACTCCTCTGAGCGGCACATAACTCACTCTGCCTCAGTTATTCAAACTGCCCCCAACCATCAGTCATTTTATGGTATGTTACTTATTGTACAGACAGTCAGATTGGCTGGAAACTGTTCACACTCCACTTTTAATGTTTCAATATGCTGACAAAAATACATCATAGTGATTCACAAGCCTAATATAAGGACTGTATGAAACTTCCGACAGACGGAATGTTACCAGTCAAAACAGAACGGTTCACCTCTGATCTCACTGGGGGTCTGTTATGGCTGGCCTACAATTATTTGTTAACCCCTTGCATGAGCTATAAACTGGAAATTAGTTTTTAACATTTTGAAATGACAATGCAGAAAGGACAAGTAGTATTTTATTCCCCTGTTTAGTCTCCCTGATAAAGAACCCCAGCCTTTATTTGTTTATAATCTCAGTGTTTGGTTTGGTGGAATGTCAATATTTTATGTGCTTCGATTTGGGTTTCCATATGCTGCTGTGCCATGCCCCTGAGACTGAGAGAGAGAGTACATGAATTTTAATTTGGATTTAAATGTTCAGTAGTTGTTACCACATGGAGGATTTGTTTGTTTGGGCACTGATGCACTGGCGGAGTACCCTCATCCATCTTACTCCTTCCTCTTGGAGGGTGGCAGGTAACCTAGCGTTAGGCCAGTAACCGAAAGGTCACTGGTTCGAATCCCTGAGCTGACTAGGGGAAAAATCTGTCAATATGCCCTTGAGCAAGGCACTTAACTAGGGCTGGGACAATACCAGCATTGCAATATTTTTTCCATGGCAAAAAATTTAACACGAAGCAGTGGCTAAACACTTTAATTTATTTTGGTCCTTTAAAAATCTGCTGTATGTAAAATATTGTGTGCTATAGCTTGGGAAATTATTTTTTTTAAACTCTGGATGACAACATAATGATGTTTGTTTCCAACATTAGGGCTGTTTTCCTGAATAAGTTTTATTTCCTTGCCACGATACTAACGAGTATCGAGATAGTGGTATCGTCCCGGCCCTACACTTAACGCTAATTGCTCTTCTAAGTCGCTCTGGATAAGTGAGTCTGCAAAATGACTAAAATATCAAATGAAAAATGTAGGAGCATATCTTTCTCCTAAAGCTGTCTAAATTCCTGTCTCAGCACATGGAAACTTTCTAGAGCTGATTCTTCAGCGCTACCTTTTAGATAATGAGACAACATTTAGGACAATTGCTATAAATTCCCTTCCTCTCTGTGTGTGTGTGTGTGTGTGTGTGTGTGTGTGATGCGTGGCCCTGCAGATATTGATGAGTGCCAGGTCTATAACGGGGGCTGCCAGCACAGATGCGTGAACACCAGGGGCTCCTACCATTGTGAATGCAACCCAGGCTCTCGACTCCATGTGGATGCACGCACCTGCATTGGTGAGTAACAACAGCAACCAATGGCCAATTAACCTGATAACCCTATTGTTATACAACATCATCATGATATACAAACCACAAACATATTGTGTCATTCTAGTCAGTGGAAGCTTTTGGAAAACCCAGGGCAAGGTAGGAGTTAGTATAGGCCTGAGGAACTACAGTATAGAAAGGTCTCAGTTTAGTTGAAAAGCTAATCCTTCTCTACATTTGATTCTGTCAGTGTGGTATTTAAAGTATTAGGCAATCTCACAGAGGCTTCTTGCCTAACACAGTGTGGGATCCAGTTACTCTCCAACTCTCCCGTCCGTGTGTTTACGTTGTACCTGTAACTTGTCTCTATCATCGCCAAGATGCACGAATCCGGCTGTTAGTACAGCCCCAAGGCTTTTAAAAACAGCTGTTAGTACAGCCCCAAGGCTTTTAAAAACAGCTGTTAGTACAGCTCCAAGGCTTTTAAAAACAGCTGTTCGCACACCAGTATAAAACTCAATCTCAACGCACACAGCAAGGAATGTACACAGAGCGTCTTTTCTGACATCGAGAATGGAAATGTATGCTGCTTTTCTTAGCTTTGGCACAATGTACAGTGGGGAGAACAAATATTTGATACACTGCCGATTTTGCAGGTTTTCCTACTTACAAAGCATATAGAGGTCTGTAATTTTTATCATAGGTACACTTCAACTGTGAGAGACGGAATCTAAAACAAAAATCCAGAAAATCACATTGTATGATTTTTAAGTAATTAATTTGCATTTTATTGCATGACATAAGTATTTGATACATCAGAAAAGCAGAACTTAATATTTGGTACAGAAACCTTTGTTTGCAATTACAGAGATCATACGTTTCCTGTAGGTCTTGACCAGGTTTGCACACACTGCAGCAGGGATTTTGGCCCACTCCTCCATACAGACCTTCTCCAGATCCTTCAGGTTTCGGGGCTGTCGCTGGGCAATACGGACTTTCAGCTCCCTCCAAAGATTTTCTATTGGGTTCAGGTCTGGAGACTGGCTAGGCCACTCCAGGACCTTGAGATGCTTCTTACGGAGCCACTCCTTAGTTGCCCTGGCTGTGTGTTTCGGGTCGTTGTCATGCTGGAAGACCCAGCCACGACCCATCTTCAATGCTCTTACTGAGGGAAGGAGGTTGTTGGCCAAGATCTCGCGATACATGGCCCCATCCATCCTCCCCTCAATACGGTGCAGTCGTCCTGTCCCCTTTGCAGAAAAGCATCCCCAAAGAATGATGTTTCCACCTCCATGCTTCACGGTTGGGATGGTGTTCTTGGGGTTGTACTCATCCTTCTTCTTCCTCCAAACACGGCGAGTGGAGTTTAGACCAAAAAGCTCTATTTTTGTCTCATCAGACCACATTACCTTCTCCCATTCCTCCTCTGGATCATCCAGAGGGTCATTGGCAAACTTCAGACGGGCCTGGACATGCGCTGGCTTGAGCAGGGGGACCTTGCGTGCGCTGCAGGATTTTAATCCATGACGGCGTAGTGTGTTACTAATGGTTTTCTTTGAGACTGTGGTCCCAACTCTCTTCAGGTCATTGACCAGGTCCTGCCGTATATTTCTGGGCTGATCCCTCACCTTACTCATGATCATTGATGCCCCACGAGGTGAGATCTTGCATGGAGCCCCAGACCGAGGGTGATTGACCGTCATCTTGAACTTCTTCCATTTTCTAATAATTGCGTCAACAGTTGTTGCCTTCTCACCAAGCTGCTTGCCTATTGTCCTGTAGCCCATCCCAGCCTTGTGCAGGTCTACAATGTTATCCCTGATGTCCTTACACAGCTCTCTGGTCTTGGCCATTGTGGAGAGGTTGGAGTCTGTTTGATTGAGTGTGTGGACAGGTGTCTTTTATACAGGTAACGAGTTCAAACAGGTGCAGTTAATACAGGTAATGAGTGGAGAACAGGAGGGCTTCTTAAAGAAAAACTAACAGGTCTGTGAGAGCCGGAATTCTTACTGGTTGGTAGGTGATCAAATACTTATGTCATGCAATAAAATGCAAATTATTTACTTAAAAATCATACAATCTGATTTTCTGGATTTTTGTTTTAGATTCCGTCTCTCACAGTTGAAGTGTACCTATGATAAAAATTACAGACCTCTACATGCTTTGTAAGTAGGAAAACCTGCAAAATCGGCAGTGGATCAAATACTTGTTCTCCCCACTGTATATTATATTAGTATAGGAATGAGAGAGGATGGGAACTGTGCTCTACTCTACTGGGTCAGAGCAGAACAATTCACTGAGGTGTTAAGCACAGTGTTTGTGTTGGTAGCACTTCTTAGCTTGCAGCCTTTCAGAAACAGCAAAGGATGTAGAGTGAAGGGTTACTGTGAAAATGCAATGGATCTTCTCCCTCAATATAAAAAAAATTATTGTATCTGTCTGTCTGTCTGTGTCCAGCTGTCCAATCATGTGGCATCAGTAATGGAGGATGTGAGCATTTCTGTGTACAGCAGTCCCCTACTGCCATCCGCTGCCGCTGTAGAGCCAACTATGTGCTTGCTGAGGACGGAAAGCACTGCAAACGTGAGTATCCCCATCCTCTGGTCTTTCTACACTACTGTGCACCCAACAGCACTCACATACTCACTCACAGATTAATAAATCTATCCAAGCACCTGCCAAATACTGAAATACCCTCCAGGTGAAAATAACATTTCAACCAATTAAAAACAAATAAGTAACAAGCTCCCACATCACATTTAATGCAGTTTCCTTTCACTCTCCCAGTGTACCGTTGGATCTCAGGTCTGACATGGGAAACTGCAGATTAAGTATGTTTAGTAGAAAGACTGCATAGTGGGCAAGTTGACAGGCTGTGATGTCACACATTTTGTTGCAATGTGGTTTTCTCTTTTTCACCACAAATATAGGCTACATTACTGATCGTGACACTGAGTGAAGTGCACACTGTCTTTGGCTGAAGTAACCATGAGTGCAGAGAGAAAGAGCAACTTTCAGTTATGTTGAGTGACGGGCAGCTAAGAGAGACAGCAGCCTGATACAGACATGAAACTAATTGGGACATGTAACTCAGAAAGACATCTAGATAATAATAAATATGTATAACCATGCATGCAGGAGCTTTAAGCTGTAACTATACAATTGCAACATTTCTATGGATGTAATGGATAGACGGAGAGGGGAGAGTGTAGGCATGATACAAGCACGACAGCATTCAGAGAGTTGAGGGATTTGTGAATCCAAGGTGTCCTTTTGAAGGGTTTATCATAACACTATAGATTCATAGCTGCCAATAGTTCATGTCCAACAGGATGTCTGAGGAAGGGTACTAATCAGGAGATGAGACCTTAAATTAGTGTGAATACGACCCTGATTTGAAGGGTTGTTTCCTGTTTTTTTCAACATTAGTTCACATTATTCTCTGGCAACCCAAGACTCAGCCATGGAATTTCTCTCTCTCTCTCTCTCTCTCTCTCTCTCTCTCTCTCTCTCTCTCTCTCTCTCTCTCTCTCTCTCTCTCTCTCTCTCTCTCTCTCTCTCTCTCTCTCTCTCTCTCTCTCTCTTCAATTCAATTGACTTTATTGACATGGCAGGTTAAATTACTTACATTATCAAAGTATACATATAACAAAAATGGTGGGACCAACAGCAATAATAATAGTAGTAGTGGAAATGGGATTACCATTAACAGCAACAACAATATTAATGAGAATAACAATACATTAAAGCAATAGTAGTCGACCAGTCTCAACATGACTGAGAAGACACATTACATGGTATGAAAGCCAAAACAAAACAGGAAATATTATTGACATTACATTACACTTTTCACTGGCTGTCCCTCAGGTTGTGGCAGGAGGACACATATTTGGATGCCAAAATTGCATATTTTGGCTTTTCACATAATAAATATTAGATTTTTCTTCCTATTTTATAGTTTCAAATTCTTTGTACTGAATGATAATTTTGGGAAAGAAAGATTCTCTTAGGTCTGAGTATTTGTCACAGTGTAATAGGAAATGCAGCTCTGTCTCTACCTCTCCCCGGGGGAAGAGTGAGCACAGCCTGTCATCTCTGGGCAGCCAGGTTTGCCTGTGACGACCGGTCTCTATAGCCAGACTGCTCACTGAGTCTGTACTAATCATTGTTTTCCTCAGTTTTCTATCAGTCACAGTGGTCAGATAGTCTGCCACCATGTACTGTCTGTTTAGAGCCAAATAGCATTGAAGTTTACTTTGATTTTTTGTGGTGTTTTTCCAATAGGTGATATATTTTTCTTTTTGCTTTGTGATGATTTGGTTGGGCCAGATTTTCTGAGTGCTGTCCTGAGGCTCTATGAGGTTGGTTTTGGTGAGTGAACTGAGCCTCAGTACCAGCTGGCTGAGGGGACTCTTCTCTTGTTTCATCTCTTGACATAGTAGAGCTGTGTGATGGAATGTTTTGCGGTCACTTGTTTTTAGATGGTTGTAAAATTTGATGGCTCTTTTTTTCTATTCGAATAAGGAGGGGGTATTGGCCCAATTCTGCTCTACATGCGTTATTTTGAGTTTTTCTTTGCACTTGCAATACAGTCTTGCAAAACTCTGCATGCAGTATTTCGATTGGATGTTTGTCCCATTTGGTAAATTCAGTATTAGAGAGCGGACCCCATACTTCGCTGCCATATAGAGCAATTGGTTCTATAACTGATTGGAACATTTTGAGCCAGATTCTAATTGGAATTTTGATTTTAATATTCCTTTTAATGGCATAGAATGCTCTTCTTTCTTTGTCTCTCAGCTCATTCACAGCCATGTGAAAGCTACCTGTGTTGCTGATATTTAATCCTAGATACGTGTAATTTTTGGTGTGTTCTAATAGAACTGTGTCCAAATAGAATGTATATTTGTCATCCTGATTTCCAGACCTTTTTTGGAATATCATTATATTCGTTTTTTTTAGATTAACGGTCAGAGCCCAGGTCTGACAGAACCTGTGCAGATGATCTAGATGCTGCTGTAACCCCTCCTTAGTGGGAGACAGTAGCACCAGGTCATCTGCGTACAGCAGACACTTGATTTCAGTGTTGTGTAGGGTGAGACCAGGTGCTGCCGATTCTTCTAATGTTTTTGCCAATTCATTAATAGTGTTGGACTTATTGGGCAGCCCTGTTTCACTCCACGTCCCTGAGAGAAGAAGTCTGTTTGTTTGTTGCCGATTTTAACCGCACATTTGTTTTTAGTGTACATTGATTTAATAACATAATATGTTTTCCCTCCAATACCACTTTCTATTGTTGATGTTCAGAATGGCGCCGGAGAAGATGGCTGCCGTTTTACAGCCCTCTAACCAATTGTACTATTATGTGTGTTTTTCCGCGTTATTTGTAATTTATTCTGTAAATAATGTTTCTGCCATCGTCTCTTATAACCAAAAAGAGCTTCTGGATATCAGGACAGCGATTACTCACCTCGTATTGGACGAAGATTGTTTCTTCAACAAGTCGGTCGCGAAGGATATCCTACAGACACCCGACAAGGCCCAAATCCCCTGTCATTCGCATGAGAAAGAGACAGAGATATCGTGGACGTAGGTCGGGGTGCCTTGTAAGGATCCGACGGCGAGCGAGTAAACTGCCTCTTCCATCAATCCTATTAGCCAATGTTCAATCATTTGAGAATAAATTAGATAACCTAAGATTACGGTTAACCTACCAACGGGACATTAAAAACTGTAATATCTTATGTTTCACCGAGTCGTGGCTGAACGACGACATGGACAACATACAGCTAGCGGGCTATACGCTACATCGGCAGGATAGAACGGCTGACTCCGGTAAGACAAGGGGTGGCGGTCTGTGTATATTTGTAAACAACGGCTGGTGCACAAAATCAGATACTAAGTAAGTCTCAAGGTTTTGCTCGCCTGAGGTAGAGTATCTTATGATAAGTTGTAGACCACACTATTTACCAAGAGAGTTTTCATCTATATTTTTCATAGCTGTCTATTTACCACCACAAACCAATGCTGGCATTAAGATTGCACTGAATGAGCTGTATAAGGCCATAAGTGAACAGGAAAATGCTCATCTAGAGGCAGCGCTCCTAGTGGCCGGGGACTTTAATGCAGGGAAACTTAAATCCGTTCTACCTAATTTCTACCAGCATGTTAAATGTGCAACCAGAGGAAAAAAAACTCTAGACCACCTTTACTCCACACACAGAGACAGATACAAAGCTCTCCCTCGCCCTCCATTTGGCAAATCTGACCATAACTCTATCCTCCTGATTCCTGCTTATAAGCAAAAACTAAAGCAGGAAGCACCAGTGGTCAGATGGCGCAGATGCTAAGCTACAGGACTGTTTTGCTAGCACAGACTGGAACATGTTCCGGGATTCTTCAGATAGCATTGAGGAGTACACCACATCAGTCACTGGCTTCATCAATAAGTGCATCGATGACGTCGTCCCCACAGTGACCGTACGTACATACCCCAACCAAAAGCCATGGATTACAGGCAACATCCGCACTGAGCTAAAGTGTAGAGCTGCCGCTTTCAAGGAGCGGGACTCTAACCCGGACGCTTATAAGAAATCCCACTATGCCCTCCGACGAACCATCAAACAGGCAAAGAGTCAATACAGGACTAAGATTTAATCGTACTACACCGGTTCTGACGCTCGTCGGATGTGGCAGGGCTTGAAAACTATTACAGACTACAAAGGGAAGCACAGCCGCGAGCTGCCCAGTGACACAAGACTTCCAGACGAGCTAAACCACTTCTATGCTCGCTTCGAGGCAAGCAACACTGAAGCATGCATGAGAGCACCAGCTGTTCCGGATGACTATGTGATCACGCTCTCTGTAGCCAATGTGAGTAAGACTTTTAAGCAGGTCAACATTCACAAGGCCGCAGGGCCAGACGGATTACCAGGATGTGTACTCCGAGCATGTGCTGACCAACTGGCAAGTGTCTTCACTGACATTTTCAACATGTCCCTGACTGAGTCTGTAATACCAACATGTTGGGATAACCACATTGTAAAGTGGTTATCCCACTGCCTATAAGGTGAATGCACCAATTTGTAAGTCGCTCTGGATAAGAGCGTCTGCTAAATGACGTAAATGTAAATGTAAATGTGAGTAGGAGGAGAGGAGATAGCAAAGAGAGCCAGTGACTATTAGAACAGACCAGATGTAGTAGTATCGTAGTAAAGAGAACCAGATGTAGAAGTATCGTAGTAAAGAGAACCAGATGTAGTAGTATCGTAGTAAAGAGAACCAGATGTAGTAGTAGATGCCCATTTGTCTCCCGAGTGGCGCAGTGGTCTAAGGCACTGCACCGCAGTGCTAGCTGTGCCACTAGAGATCCTGGTTCGTATCCAGGCTCTGCTGTAGCCGGCCGCAACCGGGAGACCAATGGGGCGGCGCACAATTGGCCCAGCGTCGTCCAGGGTAGGGGAGGGAATGGCAGGTAGGGAGGTAGCTCAGTTGATAGAGCATGGCGTTTGCAACGCCAGGGTTGTGGGTTCGTTTCCCACGGGGGGCCAGTATGAAAATAATAATGTATGCACTAACTGTAAGTCGCTCTGGATAAGAGCGTCAGCTAAATGACGTAAATGTAAATGTAAATGTTTCAAGCAGACCACCATAGTCCCCGTGCCCAAGGACACTAAGATAACCTGCCTAAATGACTACCGACCCGTAGCACTGACGTCTGTAGCCATGAAGTAATTTGAAAGGCTGGTCATGGCTCACATCAACACCATTATCCCAGAAATCCTAGACCCACTCCAATTTGCATACCGCCCCAACAGATCCACAGATGATGCAATCTCTATTGCACTCCACACTGCCCTTTCCCACCTGGACAAGAGGAACACCTACGTGAGAATGCTATTAATTGACTACAGCTCAGCATTCAACACCATAGTGCCCTCAAAGCTCATCACTAAGGTAAGGATCCTGGGACTAAACACCTCCCTCTGCAACTGGATCCTGGACTTCCTGACGGGCCGCCCCCAGGTGGTAAGGGTAGGTAACAACACATCTGCCACACTGATCTTCAACACGGGGGCCCCTCAGGGGTGCGTGCTCAGTCCCCTCCTGTACTGTCTGTTCACCCATGACTGCATGGCCAGGCACGACTCCAACACCATCATTAAGTTTGCCGACGACACAACAGTGGTAGGCCTGATCACCGACAACGATGAGACAGCCTATAGGGAGGAGGTCAGAGACCTGGCCGTGTGGTGCCAGGATAACAACCTCTCCCTCAACGTGACCAAGACAAAGGAGATGATTGTGGACTACAGGATAAAAAAGAGGACAGAGCACGCCCCCATTCTCATCGACGGGGCTGTAGTGGAACAGGTTGAGAGCTTCTAGTTCCTTGGTGTCCACATCACCAACACACCAAGACAGTTGTGAAGAGGGCACGACAAAGCCTATTCCCCCTCAGGAGACTGAAAAGATTTGGCATGGGTCCTCAGATCCTCAAAAAATTATACAGCTGCACCATCGAGAGCATCCTGACTGGTTGCATCACCGCCTGGTATGGCAACTGCTCGGCCTACGACCGCAAGGCACTACAGAGGGTAGTGCGTACCGCCCAGTACATCACTGGGGCCAAGCTTCCTGCCATCCAGGACCTCTATACCAGGCGGTGTCAGAGGAAGGCCCTCAAAATTGTCAAAGACTCCAGCCACCCTAGTCATAGACTGTTCTCTCTGCTACCGCACGGCAAGCGGTACCGGAGTGCCAATTCTAGGTCCAAAATACTTCTCAACAGCTTCTACCCCCAAGCCATAAGACTCCTGAACAGCTAATCATGGCTAACCAGACTATTTGCACTGCCCCCCCACCCCCACCCCATCTTTTTACGCTGCTGCTACTCTGTTAATTATTTTTGCATAGTCACTTTAACTTTAACATATCACCTCAACTACCTCAAATAGCCAGTGCCCCCGCACATTGACTCTGCACCGGTACCCCCCTGTATATATAGCCTCCCTACTGTTATTTTATTTTACTTCTGCTCTTTTTTTCTCAACACTTTTTTGTTGTTGTTGTTTTATTTTACTTTTTTATTAAAAAAATTAATGCATTGTTGGTTAAGGGCTGTAAGTAAGCATTTCACTGTAATGTCTACACCTGTTGTATTCGGCGCATGTGGCCAATAAAATTTGATTTGATTTGATTGGTTTGTAAAAAAGACCTTCGTGCCAAATTGAATCAAATGCTTTCTTGAAGTCTACAAAACTTGACTTGTTTGTCAATTAGAGTGTGGAGGGTGTAAATGTGGTCTATTGTACGATAATTTTAAAAAATCCAATCTGGTTTCTGCTTAGGACGTTGTATTCATCAAGGAAATGATGAAGTCTGCTGTTTATGATACTGCAGAGAATTTTCCCCAAGTTGCTGTTAACGCAAATTCCTCTGTAATTATTTGGGTCAAATTTGTCTCCATTTTTATAGATTGGTGTGATCAATCCTTGGTTCCGAATATCTGGGAAAAGATCTGCAGTTAGGATAAAGTTGATGAGTTTGAGTATAGCCAATTTGAATTTGTGGTCTGTATATTTGATCATTTCATTTAAAATACCATCAGCACCACGGGCCTTTTTGGGTTGGAGAGTGCAAAGTTTTTCCAATAATTATTGTTCTGTAATTGGGGTATCCACAGGATTCTGATAGTCTTTGACTGCTGATTCAAAACATTTTTTTATATCTTGTTGTTCTGGGCTCTTTGTTATATTGCTGTAGAGGTTTGCAAAGTGATTTCTCCACATATCCCCATTTTGGATAGCCAATTCCTCATTATGAGGTTTGTTTAATTTATTCCAATTCTCCCAGAAGTGGTTTGATTCTATGGATTCCTCAATTACATCCAGCTGATTTCTAATGTGCTGTTCCTTTTTTCTTCTTAGGGTGTGTTTGTATTGCTTCAGTGTTTCCCCATATTGAAGGCGTATATTTTTGCTGTCTGTGTCTCTGTGTTTTTGATTAGATATATTTCTCAATTACTTTCTTAGATTTTTGCAATCATTATAAACCATTTCTCATTATCTATTCTTTTTGGTTTGCTCTTATGTTTCTTTAGATTAGCCAAGGAGGCTAATTTGTCAAATATAAAGTTCATGTTCCAAACGGCCAAATTTACACCTTCATTGCTGTAGGAGAATGTTAAGGCTAAAAAGTTGTCCAGGAGAGATTGTATTTTTTGGCTACTAATTGCTTTTTGGTAGATTTCTGTACTGTTTGCACTCCATCTATAGGTCTATTTAGTACCATGTAATTTATTGGGCCATGATGCTTCATGGTTGGGTTCTGCTCTTCTCAGATACACTGTGATTTTACTGTGGTCTGAGAGAGGTGTTAGTGGGCTGACTGTGAAGGCTCTGAGAGACTCTGGGTTGAGGTCGGTGATGAATTAGTCTACAGGACTGCTGCCAAGGGATGAGCTGTAGGTGTACCTACCAAAAGAGTCCCCTCTTAGCCTACCATTGACTATGTGCAGACCCAGTGTTCGACAGAGCTCAGGAGCTGTACTCCATTTTTGTTTTCACTGGGGGGGTATGTGGGGAGGGAAAGGTTGTTGCTTCCCGGTAGGTGTTTGTCCCCATGACTGTTAACAGTGTCTAGTTCTTCTGCTGTTATAACATTCAGGTCTCCACAGACCAACACATTGCTTTGGGCCTGAAAGTGACTAATCTCCCCCTCTAGAATGGAGAAACTCCCTTCATTGAAGTAGGGTGACTCTGAAGGGGGAATGTACAGTTGAAGTCGGAAGTTTACATACACCTTAGCCAAATACATTTAAACTCAGTTTTTCACAATTCCTGACATTTAATCCTAGTAAAAATTCCCTGTCTTAGGTCAGTTAGGATCACCACTTTATTTTAAGAATGTGAAATGTCAGAATAATAGTAGAGAGAGATTTATTTCAGCTTTTATTTCTTTCATCACATTCCCAGTGGGTCAGAAGTTTACATACACTAAATTAGTATTTGGTAGCATTGCCTTTAAATTATTTAACTTGGGTCAAACGTTTCGAGTAGCCTTCCACAAGCTTCCCACAATAAGTTGGGTAAATTTTGGCCCATTCCTCCTGACAGAACTGGTGTAACTGAGTCAGGTTTGTAGGCCTCCTTGCTCGCACACGCTTTTTCAGTTCTGCCCACAAATCTTCTATAGGATTGAGGTCAGGGATTTGTGATGGCCACTCCAATACCTTGACTTTGTTGTCCTTAAGCCATTTTGCCACAACTTTGGAAGCATGCTTGGGGTCATTGTCCATTTGGAAGACCCATTTGCGACCAAGCTTTAACTTCTTGACTGATGTCTTGAGATGTTGCTTCAATATATCCACATAATTTTCCTTCCTCATGATGCCATCTATTTTGTGAAGTGCACCAGTCCCTCCTGCAGCAAAGCACCCCAACAGCATGATACTGCCACCCGCGTGCTTCACGGTTGGGATGGTGTTCTTCGGCTTGCAAGCTACCCCCTTTTTCCTCCAAACATAACGATGGTCATTATGGCCAAACAGTTCTATTTTTGTTTCATCAGACCAGAGGACATTTCTCCAAAAAGTACGATCTTTGTCCCCATGTGCAGTTGCAAACCATAGTCTGGCTTTTTTATGCCGGTTTTGGAGCAGTGGCTTCTTCCTTGCTGAGCGGCCTTTCAGGTTATGTCGATATAGGACTCTTTTTACTGTGGATATAGATACTTTTGTACCTGTTTCCTCCAGCAACTTCACAAGGTCCTTTGCTGTTCTGGGATTGATTTGCACTTTTCGCACCAAAGTACGTTCATCTCTAGGAGACAGAACGCGTCTCCTTCCTGAGTGGTATGACGGCTGCGTGGTCCCATGGTGTTTATACTTGCGGACTATTGTTTGTACAGATGAACGTGGTACCTTCAGGCGTTTGGAAATTGCTCCCAAGGATGAACCAGACTTGTGGAGGTCTACAATTTTTTCTGAGGTCTTGGCTGATTTCTTTTGATTTTCCCATGATGTCAAGCAAAGAGGCACTGAGTTTGAAGGTAGGCCTTGAAATAGATCCACAGGTACACCTCCACTTGACTCAAATGATGTCAATTAGCCTATCAGAAGCTTCTAAAGCCATGACTTCATTTTCTGGAATTTTCCAAGCTGTTGAAAGGCACAGTCAACTTAGTCTATGTAAACTTCTGATCCACTGGAATTGTGATACAGTGAATTCTTGTCACGCCCTGACCTATAGAACTCTTGTTTGTTGAGTTAGGGTTTGGAAATCTATGTTATATATTCTATGTTTAGGTTCTAGTTATTCTATTTCTATGTCTGGCCGGGTATGATTCCCAATCAGAGGCAGCTGTCGCTCATTGTCTCTGATTGGGGATCATACTTAGGTAGCCCATTGCCTACTGTGTATTGTGGGATCTTGTTCAGTTTAGGCTTGTATGTGTATAGCCTGAGGACTTCACGTTACGTTGTTTCTTGTTTTGTTGTATGTTTATTGAGTTAATAAACATATACGCTTTTCACGCTGCACCTTGGTCCGACCCGTCTCTTAACGATCGTGACAGAAGATCCCACCAAACGAGGACCAAGCAGCGTGGCCAGGAGCAGACATCCTAGACATGGGAGGAGATCCTGGATGGTAATGGATCTTGGACATGGGAGGAGATCCAGGCTGGGATGGATCGCCGTCCGTGGGAACGGACAGAGGAAGCCCGGGTAGGAGAGGAGCAACGGCGACACCGCCGGCGCCGGCCGAGCAGCCCCAATAAAAATGTTTTGGGGGGGCTAAAGGGGCAGTCCGCTCCACCCGGTGGGGTTCCAGTTGGAGTCCCTACGACCATGGGAACAGGAATGGGAACAGTTTTACACTGAGGAGTCGGAGGATGACGACGACGATGAGTTTCTGTTCCTTAACTCATGGGGGCTTCCGGAGGAGTCCTCACTGGAGGAGGATTGGGCGCGGAGAGTAAAGGACTGGTACAGTCGTAGACCTCCAGCGCCGGTTTCCAGTCCGGTATATCTCATGCCTGCTTCTCGCACCAAGCCAGTGGTGCGTGCTCCCGGTCCGGTAAGGTCCGTGCCTGCACCTCGCACCAAACCAGTGGTGCGTGTCGCCAGCCCGGTACGCCACGTACCTGCTCCCCGCACCAGGCCAGTGGTGCGTGTTCCCAGTCCGGTACGGCCCGTACCTGCTCCTCGCACCAAACCAGTGGTGCGTGCTCCCAGTCCGGTAAGGTCTGTGCCTGCACCTCGCACCAAGATAGTGGTGCGTGTTCCCAGTCTGGTACAGCCCGTGCCTGCTCCCCGCACCAAATCAGTGGTATGTGTCTCCAGTCCGGCACGGCCCGTGCCTTCTCCCCGCACCAAACCAGTGGTGCATGTCTCCAGTCCGGCACGGCCCATACCGGCTCCTCGCACCAAACCAGTGGTGCGTGCATCCAGTCCGGTATGGCCCGTACCTGCTCCTCGCACCAAACCAGTGGTGCGTGCATCCAGTCCGGTACGGCCCGTACCTGCTCCTCGCACCAAACCAGTGGTGCGTGTCGCCAGCCCGGTACGCCCCGTACCTGCTCCCCGCACCAGGCCAGTGGTGCGTGTTCCCAGTCCGGTACGGCCCGTACCTGCTCCTCGCACCAAACCAGTGGTGCGTGTCACCAGCCCAGTACGCCCCATACCTGCTCCCCGCACCAGGCCTGTGGTGCGTGTTCCCAGTCCGGCACGGCCCGTTCCTGCTCCTCGCACCAAACCAGTGGTGCGTGTCACCAGCCCGGTACGCCACGTACCTGCTCCCCGCACCAGGCCAGTGGTGCGTGTTCCCAGTCCGGTACGGCCCGTACCTGCTCCTCGCACCAAACCAGTGGTGCGTGCTCCCAGTCCGGTAAGGTCCGTGCCTGCACCTCGCACCAAGATAGTGGTGCGTGTTCCCAGTCTGGTACAGCCCGTGCCTGCTCCCCGCACCAAATCAGTGGTATGTGTCTCCAGTCCGGCACGGCCCGTGCCTTCTCCCCGCACCAAACCAGTGGTGCATGTCTCCAGTCCGGCACGGCCCATACCGGCTCCTCGCACCAAACCAGTGGTGCGTGCATCCAGTCCGGTACGGCCCGTACCTGCTCCTCGCACCAAACCAGTGGTGCGTGCATCCAGTCCGGTACGGCCCGTACCTGCTCCTCGCACCAAACCAGTGGTGCGTGTCGCCAGCCCGGTACGCCCCGTACCTGCTCCCCGCACCAGGCCAGTGGTGCGTGTTCCCAGTCCGGTATGGCCCGTTCCTGCTCCTCGCACCAAACCAGTGGTGCGTGTCACCAGCCCGGTACGCCCCATACCTGCTCCCCGCACCAGGCCTGTGGTGCGTGTTCCCAGTCCGGCACGGCCTGTTCCTGCTCCTCGCACCAGACCTGTGGTGCGTGTCTCCAGTCCGGCCCGGCGCGTTCCTGCTCCTCGCACCAGACCAGTGATGCGTGTCTCCGCCGGCCCGTTCCACCTGTGCCTGGTCAGCTCCAGCAGCGCTCCACTCCGGGCCGAGCATCCGCTCCACCGGGGTCCAGTCAGCTCCCGGTCACGGCTGCCCCCGCAGCCAAGCAGTCCGCTCACGGTGCTAGTTCCAGCTCCGGTCAGCGGCTTCCAGAGTCCGCTCCGGCGCTCCGCTCCTCGAGCCAGAGTGCGGCGGACCGTCCACGCCTCCAGCTCAGTCCGCGGCTCCCTCAGAGCAGCTCCCAGGGTCCAGTCCAATCCGGTCAGCTGCTCCACTCCGGAGTCAGATCAGTCTGCTCCAACCCGTGCCTAGTCCAGCTCCGGTCAGCGGCTCCACTCCGGAGCCAGAGCAGTCCGCTCCACCGGTGTCCAGTCCAGCTCCGGTCAACAGCTCCACTCCGGAGCCAGAGCAATCCGCTCCGGTCAGCGGCTCCATTCCGGAGCCTGTGTAGTCCGCTCCACCGGGATCCAGTTCAGCTCCGGTCAGCGGCTCTACTCCGGTCCAGAACTCACCCCTCTCCAGGTTCGGGGGTCTCCCACACCAGGGTCCAGACAGGGATCGGTGCATCGTGGGAGGACTGAGAGGGGAAGCTCCGCGTTGAGGTCCAGACCGGTCCAGGGGTACAACGCGGAGGCAGCAAGGGAGAAGACGTCACGCCCAAAGCCGGAGCCGCCACCGAAGCGTGAAGCCCACCCGGACCCTCCCCTGTCATGTCAGGTTTGTGCGGCCGGAGTCCGCACCTTTGGGGGGGGGGGGGGGGGGGGGGGGGGGTACTGTCACGCCCTGACCTATAGAACTCTTGTTTGTTGAGTTAGGGTGTGGAAATCTATGTTATATATTCTATGTTTAGGTTCTAGTTATTCTATGTCTGGCCGGGTATGATTCCCAATCAGAGGCAGCTGTCGCTGGGTGGAGAGGTTGGGATGCGGTTTAAAGCGACGTCCTTGAGAGTCTTAGCAAGGATGGGGACTGTCTCCCTGTACAGGTGAACATGGTCATAGAGACAGTCCAGATCGAGGGTGGGCCAGGTGTACATTGGGTCGCAGGGCACAGTCCCGAGAGAGGCTGGCGTTTATTCTTTGGATTGTGGCAGGGTGCAAGTCCTTCCTCTGTAGAAGGGTTGACACCACAATCCTTGAGTTGGGGAAGATTGCGGAGGCCTTCTCAATCACTCCCCGTAGTTAAGTCGCCACCCTCTCCTACTGAGTACTCAAGTCGTTACTTCCGGTGTGTATGATTATGTGGCTTGGCGACCCGAGCTGGGCCTTATCAAGCAGCGCCATGGCACTCTGCGTTGTTGGGCACCACACCTTTCTCGTTTTGTGTCTAGGGAAAAGTTTCTTCTCCTGAACAAACTTCCCATTTGAGTCCATCAACAGGACAATCTCAGCCAGTGTTTCTTCTGGACTGGAGGGGTTAGAGTTGGGGCTGGTGGGTGTTGGAGCTGGGGTGTGGCTGATCTGTGCCGGTGCCGCTGTCAGTGGGAGGCTGTTCTGTGGGCTGAAGGGGAGGCATGCAGCCGGCAGGGCTGGGGAGGCCTGGCTGGTTGAGGTGGGCTCCTCCTCTCTCTCTCTCTCTCTCTCTCTCTCTCTCTCTCTCTCTCTCTCTCTGTCTCTCTCTGTGTGTGTGTGACTCGCTGAGGTGGACTAGTTCTCTCTAAGGGAGGGAAGATTCTAATTTTAGAATAATCACTGTCTTTTAGACGATTTTACGTTGTAATGGTTGGCCAGGACCAGCTTACTCTAATTTTTGCAGTGCTGAAGCTTCTCACTCCAGCTGCTGGAGTGGACAGGACAGGCAGATACAAGTTAAACGCACACAAATATGCAGACAAATACTCAGCCCAGTGTAGAGTTGGGACCTTTGTCTTGAGTAGTTGTGTCAGTGTGTATTCGATGTACTTCTGCATTTTAGATAAATGTCATCCCCTTTCCCACTGATTATATTTGTTAGAAATGTATAATATTTTTCAAGATAAAGTGCTGTCAACATTAAACGTTGTGTGTCTCCTGTGTTAAAGTGGAGAATCCATGTCTAGATAAGAATGGCGGCTGCCAGCAAGACTGTCTTGTTAATGGTAGCAAGACCCACTGTGACTGTAGAAATGGGTACAAGCTGGCAGAGGACAGGAAGAGCTGTGAGGGTAAGATGTCCGCCTGTTGACTACTGCACTACTGTTCATACAGGGTCAATCATGTCTCTGTATTTACGTTCTAGAATAGATCCGTATATACTCTTTGTTTATCTGTCCCAGATATTGATGAGTGTGAGTCTGAACAGTCGGGTTGTGCTCATGGCTGCCACAACACCCTGGGCTCCTTCGCCTGTGTGTGTTACACTGCCTACGAGCTGGGAGCAGATGGACGCCGGTGCTACCGTGAGTTTGGCTCCTATAATCATCATCATCTCTTTGCCTATTTGAAATAATCTGAAATGTACAAAATGTTTCCATCAGAAGTAATCGGAGTGTCATCTCGTGTTTCTGTGACAGGGATTGAGATGGAGATCGTCAGCAGCTGTGAGAGAAACAACGGAGGCTGCTCCCATCACTGCCAGCACTCAACTGGCGGCCCTGTCTGCAGCTGTAACCAGGGTTATCGACTGGAGGATGACCTCAAGACCTGTGTTGGTCAGTCTACAGACTAACCTTTACCATTCAGAGATTAACCTTTACCATTCAGCTCAGATCAGTCTAGAGACTAACCTTTACCATTCAGTCTAGAGACTAACCTTTACCATTCAGTCTAGAGACTAACCTTTACTATTCAGTCTAGACTAACCTTTAACATTCAGTCTAGAGACCATTCAGCTCAGATCGGTGTTGGTCAGTCTAGAGACTAATCTTTACCCTTTAACTCAGGTCAGTTTAACATGTGCCTGGTTTGTAACATGTCACAACATCATGATCATCCCAGTAATGCTTTTCATTGTGTGTGTTTTGTTTGGCAGACCTGGACGAGTGTGGAGAGGCAAGCTCATGCTGCGAGCAGGACTGTACCAACTACCCTGGGGGCTATGAGTGCTACTGCACAGCGGGCTACCACCTCAACTCAGATGGATGTAGCTGTGATGGTATGTTCTACCCTTTATAACCTTAGAATAGTGATCTAGTGGGGCACTCATTATACAATATAACTGTTGAACCTGGAATGCTTCCAGTTGTACTTATAATATGTGCATGATGCTGTAACATTTTAATCATGTTTGTTGAAAAGGCAGTGTATTCTTTGGTTTTCTGTATTCAGCTCTAAATGTGCCATTTATATCAATTAACATGGCTGAGGAGCAGTGTTTTTGTAAAGTGACTGGACTCTGGACTGTGTGTGTGTTGTGTAGATGTGGATGAGTGTCTGGCGGCTAACGGTGGCTGTGATCACACATGCCAGAACACCGCCGGCTCCTTCCAGTGTTTCTGCCGCCAGGGCTTCCGTCTGGACGAGGACCGAAGCTCCTGTGAATGTGAGTTACACCAATCAAATTAAATGTTGTTGCCTAGGGCCACAGCAGCATCATCACGCCCCACGTGGACATCCTGGTAACCTGTTACTCTCTCTCTCTCTCTCTCTCGCTCTGTGTCTCTGTCTGTCTCTCTCTCTCTCTCTCTCTCTCTCTCTCTCTCTCGCTCTGTGTCTCTGTCTGTCTTTCTCTGTCTCTTTGTCTCTCTCTTACTCTTTCTCTCTGCAGTGCTGGGGAATACAGTTGAGGCCCTGTCTAGTGGGGGACAGGATGCTGTGGGGTCTCTGCCTCAGCTCCAGCTCGCCCTGCTGCAGGACTACAACCAGCCCCTGGAGCGCTATGACGACTATGAGGATGATGACGCTGGAGAGCTGCTGGCTGAGAGCACGCTAGCAGAGAAATTTGGTGAGCCACTGAACATGAACACACACACTTTGGGCCTGTATCTGATTAGCTCTGTGTCTGAGCAACAGACTTACTAGTTACTAGGCAATTAAATACCCCACAGCAGGTGGCAAATTGGTTAGCCTCATATTCTGAGGCTGTTTTTTTACATATCTCTATAGTAATGGGGAAGCTTATAGACTGTGGCAGGGGGTAATGGCAGAGAGCCATAGGATCTGTTTTGTGTTGTTCCTTGATTTATTCATGTGAAAACATTCATCAGTATTGTAGTATTTATTTTTCTCACCAGGGGTTACTAGGAAGAATTGAGTTGAAGATTGGCAAATCCCTAACCACAAACAGATATTTTCTAGAACGTGATAGTCAGTAATCTCTTCTGTCCTGTGTGCAGTGTGTCTGAACAACACCTTTGGCCATGACTGCAGCCTGACCTGTGAGGACTGCTCTAACGGAGGGCTGTGTGGCCAAGGGAGAGATGGATGTCACTGTCCCGATGGATGGACAGGCCTCATCTGCAACCAGAGTCAGTATATACACACACTGTACACAGACACTGCACTCTCAACACAGTAAATCAGTAATCTGATCAATCTTATGTCTGTGTGTTTCTCTGTGGAACAACACGTCTCTGTATAATGGATAAATATATAACGTTTTATTCTGTTCTATCCTAACAGCTTGTCCCGAGGGATCATTCGGCAGTAACTGCTCGTTCCCCTGTAAGTGTAAGAACGGAGCCACCTGTGACCCTGTCAATGGGAACTGTCGCTGCCCACCTGGGGTCAGTGGAGACATGTGCCAGGATGGTGAGTAACTACTGGTTAACTGATACTGTACATACAAAAAACACTATCAGTTATTCACACACTATTGAAACGTTCAGTTGCCTGATAACAATATATTGTTGTCTGTAGGCTGTCCTAAGGGCTTCTATGGGAAACAGTGCAATAAGAAGTGTAACTGTGCCAATAATGGGCGCTGCCACCGCACCTACGGAGCCTGTCTGTGTGACCCTGGACTCTACGGGAGGTTCTGCCATCTAGGTGAGTCACTCACACTGCTGACCCCTCACCTCTCATCTCTACTTACACTGAATGTACAAAACATTAAGAACACCTTCCTAATATTGAGTTGCACGCCTCCTTTTGCCCTCTGAACAGCATCAATTAATCGGGGCGTGGACTCTACAAGGTGTCGAAAGTGTTCCACAGGGACGCTGGCCCATGTTGACTCCAATGCTTCCCACAGTTGTGTCAAGTTGGCTGGATGTCCTTTGGGTGTTGGACCATTTTTGATACACACTGGAAATTATTGAGCGTAAAAAACCCAGCAGCGTTGCACTTCTTGACACAAACCGGTGCGCCTGGCACCTACTATCATACCCCATTCAAAGGCACTTAAATCTTTTATCTTGCCCATTCACCCTCTGAATGGCACCCATACACAATCCATGTCTTACAGTTTTTCTCAATTGCTAAAACACTAAACCCTATTGTCTGAACCAAATGCTCAGTTGCCTGAACCCACTGATTGAATCAATCACTCTTTTGGCAAAACCATAAGCACTTTTCACCTGTTTAGACATAACTTGCCAACACATTTTCATTGTGATGCACCCGTGCTGCATAATGGTGAGCACAGGTGACAAAAGTCAAACACAATTAGAGCACAGGTGTCACCACTTGAACACAACAACTCAAAATTGATCACACTTGTGGCTAATGATGTGAGGGAACATATACAGTAAGCCAGTTCAGAGAGCACTGGTTTGTGAGGCCCTACAATGGATAGAAATCTGAGAGGAAGAGTTCGTGTGAGAGGAGGTCGAGGTGGTCGAGGTGGTCAGCGAAGACAAAGAACAGTAATATCTGATGAAATCAGAGCTACTGTGATTGACCATGTTCTTGTCCATGGTATGAGCATGAGGGAGGCTGGACAAAGGGTACAACCAAACATCAGTAGATTCACTGTGTCCACCATAATCCGAAGATTTAGAGAAGAGAACAGGTAATTACCTTTTTTTGACATTATAGTACAGTATGTAAATGTTGACAGCAATTACTGTATGACATACTATATACTGTACCACAGTATACTGTAAGTAAATATATGTTTCAGTACATCACTGTACCAATGTACTGTAGTATTGTAATGGAGGGTTGGTCTAACTGTTTGTAGGCCTAGTATTCCATGTATATTTTTTGTAACTCCATGTTCTCTTTTTGTAGAATTGAAAGACTGCCACATGGGGGTGGGAGGACAGGTATGTTCTCCCCACACCAAGAGACCCTAATTGTTGATATGGTCCGTGAGAACAATGCCATTAAACTGAGCGAAATTCAGCAGAAGATCATTGAGGACCATTTAAATTTTGAGGGTATCAACAGTGTCAGCCTCTCTACTGTTGATCGTGTCCTCAAGCGCAACAGACTGCGCATGAAACAGCTATACAGAGTGCCCTTTGATCGCAACTCAGACAGAGTCAAAGAGCAAAGATTCCAGTATGTACAGGTTGGCATATATCCAGACACATTCAATGTTGATTACTCTAAGTAGTGATTTACTGTAGTGGCCTAAATCACTTTTTCCGTATCACTTACAAAACTATATATATTTCTACAGAGGGTTTTTTAACTGGATGCAATGGAAAGACCCCATCAATACATCTACATGGATGAAGCTGGGTTTAATCTCACCAAAAGGAGAAGGAGAGGCCGTAATGTGATTGGCCATCGGGCCATTGTTGGTGTTCCTGGGCAGCGTGGTGGCAATGTCACATTATGTGCTGCCATCAGCAATCATGGGGTTGTCCACCATCATGCCAACCTGGGGCCCTACAACACTCACCAGCTCCTCATTTTCCTCAATCACATGCGAGATGCTTTGTTAGGGCAGCAGGATGAGCATCCCATCTATGTTGTTGTTTGGGACAATGTGAGTTTTCACAGAGCCCTCCAGGTTAGAGAGTGGTACAATATGAACCAAGGTTTTATCAATCTTTGCCTTCCACCGTACTCCCCTTTCCTAAACCCCATTGAGGAATTATTCTCCTCATGGCGGTGGAAGGTATATGGACGCCAACCTTACACCAGGGTAAATCTCCTGCAAGCCATGGGACTTGCCTGTGGTGACATAGGTGTGGAGGCATGCCAAGCCTGGATACGGCATGCCAGGGTTTTTTTCCCCCGTTGCCTGGCCAGACAAAATGTGGCCTGTGATGTGGATGAAGTCCTGTGGCCTGACCCAGTACGGAGACATGATGCTGTGGCTGAGTAATGCACTTATTTGTATATTTTTGTACTTTATTTTTACATGGGCTTACTGTACACAAGTGGCAAACGCATAAGATTTCTGTTTGTTTTTACAAGTGCTACATGTAAATGCACAAGATTTCTGTTTTGTCTTTTTGTACAAGTGCTAAATGCACAGTTTTTTTTTGTTTTGCAACATGCATTTAGCCTACAGTGAACAATAAACATTTATTTCTCCAGCTTCATGTCCTGAGCATTGTGTTTTCTATTTTTCTACGTAGTGTTTAGTGACTGTTCAGTAGTGTTTTTTATTTTGATTGACTCGGGGCACGATTTGACAACATAGTTCAGTTTTGAGCACAGATTGAACTGTTTTGAGGTGAAAGTTTGGTTTTGCAAGAAGAGTCTGAGGTTTTGTGAATGTAGCTTGAAAATTGGGTTTTGTGTTCACAGTTAAGAGAAAAGGAGAGCAGCTTTCAAGAAATGTGTCTTAGCAATCGAGAAAAACTGTAATTGTCTCAAGGCTTAAAAATCCTTCTTTAACCTGTTCTTCACACTGATTGAAGTGGATTGAACAAGTAACATCAATAAGAGATCATCGCTTTCACCTGGATTAACCTGGTCAGTCTATGTCATAGAAATATAACATTCAGTTCTTATTCAATATTCTTCATGTTATCTCCCTCCTTCCCTATCCAGCATGTCCCAAGTGGGCCTTTGGACCAGGCTGTTCAGAGGAGTGTCAGTGTGTCCAACAGAACACTCTGGAGTGTCACCGTCGCCACGGCACCTGCGTCTGCAAGCCTGGTTGGCTAGGCAACGCATGCAGAGAAGGTCAGTGCCAGGCAGAAAGTTCTTGTCATCTTCCGACATCACACACTGTACTGTAGCTGTAGATGCAGCCCTTTTGTAGGGATATATGTGTTTAACTTTCCTCTCCTCTGCCCCCTCCTCAGAGTGTGACCCAGGCACGTTTGGCCCAGGCTGTGAGAACAAGTGTGAGTGCCCGCCAAGAGTGTCTTGTGATCATGTGACTGGGCAGTGCCAACGTTTGTGCCCGGCTGGTCGCCGTGGAGACAACTGTGATCAAGGTAGGTTGTCCTGTTGGTCATATGGGAGGGGCATAATGCTTTGACATCATGGAGTCAGTATGTAGGAATACCATATGCTGCCTCTCTTAGTAAGGCTACCATTGTCTCTCCGTCCTCTCCTTTAGACTGTCCAGAGGGGAGGTTTGGGCCAAGCTGCACTCAGGCCTGTGACTGCTCAGGGGCCCCATGTGACAGAGTGAGTGGCCAATGCCAGTGTCCTGCAGGAACATCAGGAAAACGCTGTGAGAATGGTAAGAGAACAATCAGATCATTAAGTTTAGATTATTTGATAATGTCACCCGACAACTATCTCAAAACACTGTGATATATTGATGATGATGCTAACTCTTTATTTGTGCTATAGTGTGTGTGGAGGGCTTCTGGGGTGTGGGCTGCCGTGAGGCCTGTCCAGCCTGTGAGAATGGAGGAGTGTGTGACAAACACAACGGGACGTGTTCCTGTCCTCCTGGGTACATGGACAGGCTCTGTCAGAACTGTGAGTATGAGTGAGTCAATGGAAAAACTGTGATCAAAGGTTCTTGTGGTAGTTGGGGTTTAATTTTAGAAAGAGATGTTAAAAGATAGAGCTTTGTTGTGGGTCATTAAAACATCAACCACACCACATTCCCCTCTGTCTGAGGCACAGACAGGTCATAAATACTGTTTTCATCAGGCGTGTTTTCACAGCAAAGGAAAATGTTATTCCTGTGTAACCAGTGGTTTTCTTGTTAAATGCCTTCTGATGCTTGCATGTCATTTCAGCCAGTGTCATGGGAACTTACCGTACGGTATTTCAATATGTGTGTTCACAGTATGTAGAGTGTGTGTGACTCTTTGGCTCACAGTGCTTTATCATACAGTATGTTTGTGTGTGCTGTAGCATGTCCGACAGGATGGTTTGGTGTTGGATGCCAGCTGCGCTGCATGTGTGAAAACAGCGGGCGCTGCCACCCTGCCACGGGCCGTTGTACCTGTGCCCCTGGCTGGGCTGGACACAACTGCAGGAAAGGTAAAGTGGGTGTGGCATTGAACAGTCTCGAATGAATACAAATAAATAAATAAATATAGTTTACTCTCACTGAATCTAAACTGTTCCATTAAAATGTCTCCTGTTTTTTTGTTTCCATGGCAGCCTGTGACGCCGGGCAATGGGGGGTGGACTGTGCTGAGAAATGTGACTGTAAGGATAGTGACGGGAGCTGTGACGCGGTGACGGGCCAGTGTAACTGTGAGGCCGGCTACACAGGGACACAATGCCATGACAGTATGTGTGTGAGAGAGTCCTCAACCAAAATATCTGATATCAGGTGTTTGTGGGTTGTTTCCTTATTCTGCTACTGTTCTGTTTCAGTACTATCTCAGAGCACGCACCTATCACTCCATCCTGTACTTGTGTTAATCTGTGTCTCAGAGTGTCCAGTGGGCTCTTTTGGGCTAGGCTGTAGGCATCACTGTCAGTGTGACAACAAGGGGACATGTGACCATGTGAGCGGAGCCTGCACCTGTCTGGTGGGCTGGACTGGAACCTTCTGTGAGAAACGTAAGAGAACCTCCCAAAACCTCTCTAAACCTTATCCAGAACCCAAACTATAAATCGTATCCATAGACTGAACTGTATCTGTAATTCAGTACAATTAACCTATAGGAATCATTGAGTTATTAACATTGTGGATGGATATGCTTTATTGTTTGCTGAGAAGTAAAGTGTGTGTGTTTTAGCCTGTCCCCAGGGCTTCTATGGGTTGGACTGCCAGGAGAAGTGTGTGTGTCTGAACGGAGGTCACTGCAACCATGTCACTGGGGTGTGTGTGTGTCCTGCTGGTTGGATTGGTCCTACCTGCAACCTGAGTTAGTATTGGACATCCCATACTTCAGACAGCATGTACAATATAAAACATTTCATATCAGATATGTAATACCAATGTGTGTTTAGCATTGAAGTGATTGATGATTGATTCTTTAGAAGTAAAGAATGTCTTATATTTTCCTTGCAGCATGCCAGGCTGGTTTCTATGGGGAGGGCTGTAACCAAACCTGTGGTTGCCATAACAATGGTAGCTGCCACCCGGCGAGTGGGCAGTGTGTGTGTACACCCGGCTGGACAGGGCCAAGCTGCTTACAGGGTGAGTGTGGACTGGGAGAATAGGAGCAGATCACTACTCCTATCTTGCTATGCACAATACATTGTGTCCTGTAAAGAAACAATGTGTGGGGCTATAAAGTAGTGACCAGGGGTCTACCATTTTTTCCCCCTAGAATGCCCAGTAGGCTTCTATGGAGCAGACTGCCGCCAGCGTTGCCTGTGCCAGAATGGAGCCACGTGTGACCAAATCAGTGGGCAGTGTATGTGTGCCAACGGGTGGATGGGCACAGCCTGTGAGCTAGGTGAGTGGTACTGAAACAGCCATAGAGTCACCATGACCCTAAGTGACCACACTCATGCCTTACTACCATATAATATCATGTTCTGTAGCTGTTGACCTAAAGCATTTATCCAATCAGGATAATTGTTCCCCATTCAGTACCAGTCAGCTACTAGAAATGCAGGCTATGGAAAACCATTAAGGCTCTGGCTGGAGTAGTCTGGACAGACATGCCTAAGAATAATATTACCTGAAATGGTAGAAACCATTTAGAACATTGGCCCTGTGGTTTGTTTTACTGTATTCAGGTAACAAATTAGTCTCCGTCCTAATTTGCCCTGGCTTAGCTAATTTGTTTTTGCCTGGTGCTGTTCCCTGGCAGTGTGTGTGAGAGAGCCGCAAGCTCCTCGGACTGCAGACAGTCTGCTAGACCCCACAGTCTTCTGTCTGCCCTGTAAACATCTCACTCTAGACCTAACGCAGAGGCTCCACTTCACCACCCTACTCTACATCACACACTATCCTCCCACAATTGGTTGTCCATGCCACACTCAGCCCCAGCCCCCTTATTCCACTCCAGGCACAGGAAACCTCTAATGCTGCTGCTGGTGCTGTGTTACCTAGCAACTCCACTCTGTGGTTAGTTACCACCTCCTAGTGCCAACTTTCTGCTAGGTCAAACCACAAGGTTTGGAGAAGGTATTGCTGTCCTCAGCAGAAACACTATAGGTTTCCATGTTAGCCTGTGGTTGGTTTCACTGCTCTGATGTGATGTCCTTGTGTTCTCTCCTGCCATGTCTCTGTGGGTTGGTGTGTGGACGCTACAGAGTGTGGAGCGGGGCGGTTTGGGGCCGACTGCCAGCAGCAGTGTCAGTGTGAGAACGGGGGACAGTGTGACAGACAGATGGGCAAGTGCAACTGTCGTCCTGGCTGGGTCGGAAAGCGCTGTGAAAAAGGTGAGAGAGAGACAGAGAAGCGGACATTTACTGTCTTTGTGATCATCAATGTTGGGTGCAGTGAACACAGCACCCTCTTGTGAGTGAATGTTCTTATCACATCCAGTCTCTGAGTTCCTCCTCTCTCCTTTCCTCCCCCTCAGCCTGTGGGTCGGGCCTGTTTGGAGCTGGCTGTGAGGAGAGCTGTCAGTGTGAGCATGAAGCCCCCTGTCACCACGTCACCGGGCACTGCCTCTGTCCACCAGGTTGGAGGGGAACCCTTTGTGACAAAGGTAGCATAGTTTTAATGATAACAACTTTTTATACTGTCATAGCCTGTTGCACACTGGTTATCCCTGATATATGATTTTTACCTTTTCACCTCCAGCCTGTCTACCTGGCACCCATGGCAAGGGCTGTGTGCAACACTGCACCTGTCCCCAGGGTACTTCCTGTCACCATGTCTCTGGGGAGTGTGGCTGTCCCGCTGGATTCACTGGCAATGGCTGTGAACAGTGTGAGTACTGTACTACCCTCTCAGCTCTTCTCCTCTCCGTCAATCTGCACTTTCAGCTGTAATGTCTCCTTTTTCATGTTGCTTACCTCTGTCTGTCTGTCTGTTTACCCCACCAGCCTGTCTGTCAGGGACATATGGGCTCAACTGTAACCAGGTGTGCCAGTGTTCTGAGACCAACCAGCTCTGCCACCCAGTGACTGGGTTGTGTTACTGCGCCCCAGGCTTCCAGGGTCCTAAATGTAACCAGGGTATGTATTGTACACTATCACCCTCTGCTGCTACCAACTCAAAAGGCCTTGTGGTTAGAGTGTCCACCCTGAGATTGGAAGGTTGGGAGTTCGATCCCCGGCCGAGTCACAGGCTGAGGGGGAGGAAAGGAGAGAGGAGGAACTCAGAGACTGGATGTGATAAGACTGTAAAAATGGGACCTGATGCATTTCTGCTTGGCACTAGGCATTAAGGAGCTAGATTGCGGGTAAGGCCCTGCGATAGACTAGCGTCCTGTCCAGAGGGTGTACTTGTACATCAAGTTGCCTCATGCTACAGAAACAGGAGATAGGCTCCTGCTCCTATGAGTTGTTCTGGCTCACACACACCAAGGCTTGTGCACTTACTTACTTTACCCTCTGTTGGTAATGACACCTTCATAACATTCCATAGGGGATGTCATTGCTCTAGGGATTATTATTATTATTATTTTATCTTATAGCGTGTTAAAAGATTTCTGGTCAAATGCTTTGTTTTGGTTCCTAGGGTGTGTGGAAGGTCGGTATGGTCCCAACTGCGAGCGAGAGTGCCGGTGTCAAAACGGTGGGAAGTGCAGCTCCACCACTGGCACCTGTGAATGTACAGCAGGGTTCATCGGAGCACACTGCAACATCAGTGAGTTCACACTCATCTTTTTATATCACTTAATATACAGTGAGGGAAAAAAGTATTTGATCCCCTGCTGATTTTGTATGTTTGCCCACTGACAAAGAAATGATCAGTCTATAATTTTAATGGTAGGTTTATTTTAATAGTGAGAGACAGAATAACAACAAAAAAATCCAGAAAAACGCATGTCAAAAATGTTATAAATTGATTTGCATTTTAATGAGGGAAATAAGTACACTGCTCAAAAAAATAAAGGGAACACTAAAATAACACATCCTAGATCTGAATGAATGAAATAATCTTATTAAATACTTTTTTCTTTACATAGTTGAATGTGCTGACAACAAAATCACACAAAAATTATCAATGGAAATCAAATGTATCAACCCATGGAGGTCTGGATTTGGAGTCACCCTCAAAATTAAAGTGGAAAACCACACTACAGGCTGATCCAACTTTGATGTAATGTCCTTAAAACAAGTCAAATGAGGCTCAGTAGTGTGTGTGGCCTCCACGTGCCTGTATGACCTCCCTACAATGCCTGGGCATGCTCCTGATGAGGTGGCGGATGTTCTCCTGAGGGATCTCCTCCCAGACCTGGACTAAAGCATCCGCCAACTCCTGGACAGTCGGTGGTGCAACGTGGCGTTGGTGGATGGAGCGAGACATGATGTCCCAGATGTGCTCAATTGGATTCAGGTCTGGGGAACGGGCGGGCCAGTCCATAGCATCAATGCCTTCCTCTTGCAGGAACTGCTGACACACTCCAGCCACATGCGGTCTAGCATTGTCTTGCATTAGGAGGAACCCAGGGCCAACCGCACCAGCATATGGTCTCACAAGGGGTCTGAGGATCTCATCTCGGTACCTAATGGCAGTCAGGCTACCTCTGGCGAGCACATGGAGGGCTGTGCGGTCCCCCCAAAGAAATGCCACCCCACACCATGACTGACCCACCGCCAAACCGGTCATGCTGGAGGATGTTGCAGGCAGCAGAACGTTCTCCACGGCGTCTCCAGACTCTGTCACGTCTGTCACATGTGCTCAGTGTGAACCTGCTTTCATCTGTGAAGAGCACAGGGCGCCAGTGGCGAATTTGCCAATCTTGGTGTTCTCTGGCAAATGCCAAACGTCCTGCACGGTGTTGGGCTGTAAGCACAACCCCCACCTGTGGACTACCCTCATGGAGTCTGTTTCTGACCGTTTGAGCAGACACATGCACATTTGTGGCCTGCTGGAGGTCATTTTGCAGGGCTCTGGCAGTGCTCCTCCTGCTCCTCCTTGCACAAAGGCGGAGGTAGCAGTCCTGCTGCTGGGTTGTTGCCCTCCTACGGCCTCCTCCACGTCTCCTGATGTACTGGCCTGTCTCCTGGTAGCGCCTCCATGCTCTGGACACTACGCTGATAGACACAGCAAACCTTCTTGCCACAGCTCGCATTGATGTGCCATCCTGGATGAGCTGCACTACCTGAGCCACTTGTGTGGGTTGTAGACTCCGTCTCATGCTACCACTAGAGTGAAAGCACCGCCAGCATTCAAAAGTGACCAAAACATCAGCCAGGAAGCATAGGAACTGAGAAGTGGTCTGTGGTCACCACCTGCAAAACCAGTCCTTTATTGGGGGTGTCTTGCTAATTGCCTATGATTTCCACCTGTTGTCTATTCCATTTGCACAACAGCATGTGAAATGTATTGTCAATCAGTGTTGCTTCCTAAGTGGACAGTTTGATTTCACAGAAGTGTGATTAACTTGGAGTTACATTGTGTTGTTTAAGTGTTCCCTTTCTTTTTTTTTAGCAGTGTATTTGACCCCCTCTCAATCAGAAAGATTTCTGGCTCCCATGTGTCTTTTATACAGGTAACGAGCTGAGATTAAGAGCACACTCTTAAAGGGAGTGCTCCTAATCTCAGCTTGTTACCTGTATAAAAGACACCTGTCCACAGAAGCAATCAATCAATCAGATTCCAAACTCTCCACCATGGCCAAGACCAAAGAGCTCTCCAAGGATGTCAGGGACAAGATTGTAGACCTACACAAGGCTGGAATGGGCTACAAGACCATTGCCAAGCAGCTTGGTGAGTAGGTGACAACAGTTGGTGCGATTATTCGCAAATGGAAGAAACACAAAATAACTGTCAATCTCCCTCGGCCTGGGGCTCCATGCAAGATCTCACCTCGTGGAGTTGCAATGATCATGAGAACGGTGAGGAATCAGCCCAGAACTACACGGGAGGATCTTGTCAATGATCTCAAGGCAGCTGGGACCATAGTCACCAGGAAAAACAATTGGTAACACACTATGCCGTGAAGGACTGAAATCCTGCAGCGCCCGCAAGGTCCCCCTGCTCAAAAAAGCACATATACAGGGCCGTCTGAAGTTTGCCAATGAACATCTGAATGATTCAGAGAACTGTGTGAAAGTGTTGTGGTCAGATGAGACCAAAATCGAGCTCTTTGGCATCAACTCAACTCGCCGTGTTTGGAGGAGGAGGAATGCTGCCTATGACCCCAAGAACACCATCCCCACCGTCAAACATGGAGGTGGAAACATTATGCTTTGGGGGTGTTTTTCTGCTAAGGGGACAGGACAACTTCACCGCATCAAAGGGACGATGGACGGGGCCATGTGCCGTCAAATCCTGGGTGAGAACCTCCTTCCCTCAGCCAGGGCCCTGAAAATGGGTCGTGGATGGGTATTCCAGCATGACAATGACCCAAAACACACGGCCAAGGCAACAAAGGAGTGGCTCAAGAAGAAGCACATTAAGGTCCTGGAGTGGCCTTGCCAGTCTCCAGACCTTAATCCCATAGAAAATCTGTGGAGGGAGCTAAAGGTTCGAGTTGCCAAACGTCAGCCTCGAAACCTTAATGACTTGGAGAAGATCTGCAAAGAGGAGTGGGAAAAAATCCCTCCTGAGATGTGTGCAAACCTGGTGGCCAACTACAAGAAACTTCTGACCTCTGTGATTGCCAACAAGGGTTTTGCCACCAAGTACTAAATCATGTTTTGCAGAGAGGTCAAATACTTATTTCCCTCATTAAAATGCAAATCAATTTATAAAATTTTTGACATGCGTTTTTCTGGATTTTTTTGTTGTTATTCTGTCTCTCACTGTTCAAATAAACCTACCATTAAAATTATAGACTGATCATGTCTTTGTCAGTGGGCAAACGTACACAATCAGCAGGGGATCAAATACGTTTTTCCCTCACTGTATATGCTGTAACTCTCACAACAATCATAGCATCTGCAGTAACACTATATGGTCCCAAATGCCCTGTACCCTTTTTACAGCATGCCCAGCGGGACGTTATGGGCAGGAATGTGCCCGCGTGGTGCTGTGTGGAGAGGGGGCACAGAATGACCCTGTCACTGGTAGATGTCATTGCAGCCCTGGACGAAGAGGAGAGGACTGTGGACAAGGTAGGGTTCCTACTGAATCCAGTTCAACAGATCACTGTGTGGAATTATTTTTACAACACAAATATGATTGTTTGCGTCTCTGTCTGTCTATAAGGTAAAGAGATTTGTGTGTGTTTGTAATGTATAATTTCTGTGTATTGGCAGGCTGTGCTCCTGGATGGTTTGGAGGGGACTGTGCTCAGCGCTGTAACTGCAGTAACGGAGGACTGTGTGACTCTGTGTCTGGAAACTGTACCTGTGGTCTGGGCTGGACCGGGCCTCACTGTGATACAGGTGAGCGATACTGTACAGTAAGTACACCTATGCAAAATCATAAGAAATGGCTAACTCCCAGTGCCGGATTTCATCCAGGAGAAGAGATGGGTTTTACTGCTGTCTCACTGTGTCTGTCTGTCTGCTTGTGTGATAGAATGTCCTCCGGGGACGTTTGGAGCTAGCTGCCAGCTGAAGTGTGACTGCCGGAACAACGGAACCTGTGACAGGTTGACAGGAACCTGCCTGTGTATCCCGGGATACTACGGACATCAGTGTGAAAATGGTGAGTGACACACACGTCAGCACTCAGTCAGAACAGTGAAAGACACTGGCATTGCATACTCTATCTAAAGTGTCCTGTCCCTGTCCTCAGCGTGCCCCCCTGGTCTCCATGGCCCTCTGTGCCAGCTCCAGTGTGACTGTCTGAACGGGGCGTCCTGCCATCCCTCCACAGGCCTTTGTGTGTGTCCTCCTGGGTACCACAGCTCCCGCTGTCACAGAGGTGAGACATCTGCCACATAACTGACCTCATACTATCTATGATGAACTACCAATTGCAGGATCTATAGAAGAAAGAGTCTGTTTTATGCATTATGAAACGTATCGACCAGACTAACTCTAAGTATGTTGTTGCTCTCCATCTCTCTCCACCATGTCAACTTTCAGAGTGTCACCAGGGCAGGTTTGGTGTGAACTGTGCCAAGTCATGTGACTGTGTGGAGGGCACGCCCTGTGACCCTGTGAATGGCAGGTGTCTGTGCACCTCAGGGAAGACTGGACCCAGGTGTGACATTGGTAAGAGTCAGTAATACTGTATGCTTAATTAGAAGCATTCAGTAATTTCTATGTGATGGTATTACCGCAAATGCCAACCCAATATTCCCAATCTGAGCCTATTTCCAATTATATTCTGGTGTCTGTCTTACCTGCATGTTTGTATATTGTCAGACTGCAAAGCAAACCGCTATGGACCAGACTGCACAGAGAGGTGTGAGTGTGACAACGGGGCTTACTGTGACCATCGGAACGGACGCTGCACCTGTCTCAACAGCTGGATCGGACTCACCTGTCAGGAAGGTAATAGTGACTCACCAACACACACACCACACTTCCTTCATGGTACAGGACTGGGTATAATCAAGCTGGACTGGAGAGAAAAGTTGACTAGAACTGACAGGTTTATAATGAACAACTTGTTTTAGTGCTGATAATTGGTTTTGTCTGTAGTGAAATTGCACAGAATTGTTGAGGTTGCATTTCTCCTCCGTTAGTGATGGTGGTTGTGTTGCTGTTTGTCTATAATGAATGTGTCCTGTGTGCTGAGATACAGAGTAAACTGACAGCTCCTCTCACTGTGTGTATCCTGTCCTCAGGTGGGCCTCCACGCCTCCCCTACAGAAGCAGGAGGGAGGATAAATCACATCTGGACAATAACGCGTTATAGCACCCTCTTTTGGTTGGAGGCTCCAATCCCCTCAACAAGCCTTCGACTGTAAGAGGCTGAGGTAGTAGCACAAGCTTCACTGAAGCCGAACTGAAGTGGATTAAAAGTGTGGATATTATTTCAGACATACACACCCCAACAGGAAAGGATACTGCTGCGCCCAAGTAGCTGGATGACAGACATAGAGAAATAGACTCTAAGGAGAAATGTACTCTGTGTTTGCTCTGGGGTGGACAATGCTTTGGTGTGCGTGCGTATCTGTGTTTTGAACTGTGCAGGGCTTTTTATTGTGTGTGTAGTGTATATGTACAGCTCCCACGCAGGCATGGCCTGACTCATCAGTGATGAGGTACTGGATGTTGTGACCTCCTTTCTGGTAGTTAGAGGGAGGTCGGAGGACAGGGGTTACCAGGACTACCCTCCTCTGCACACTCCCATCCTGGACAAAGAACCTGTGGGATGTAGGAGATGTGTGTGGAGACAGGGGCTAAATGTCCAACACTAACACACATTCTTGATTTCAGAGATCCACCAACTCACTCTGCTGTTCTTGAGATATTTGTTTTGTATACTTGGCAATGTTAAAATATTTTATGTTTAGTATTTTTGTAATTTCCCCCTGGAATTTTGATGGAATTTGTGGATATACCATATGTATATGTGGCATTATTTTCAGAGCAACCACTATACAAATGCATTGACTTTTACATCATATACTGTAAATTATTCATTTATATGTAATCTGTTTTTACGAAGCCATCAAAGCCAATAATCACCCATCAAAACCAATCCATGACCCATGTATCTAAGGTTTTAGTATAGTATAGTAGTAGATGAGATTAATCCCTATCATACAATGTAAAGTGTTTTGAGCACCTGAAAAAGTGCTTTATAAATCCAGTCCAGTATAATGTCTATTGCCAGTTAATCTTGGTTAACCCAGAACAAAAATCTTGCTTAATTTGCTCAGATGCTCGTAGAATGTCCATGAGATACATTTTCAGTAAATGCAGTAGTTATGTTTGATGTACAGTATATGAAGTGACTTGTTATACACGTTGGTGCTATTGTGCTTTAATCCACTGTATGTTGACCAGTAGCCAGTAGATTAACTACATTCTGTTCAGTACATTTGTGTTTACTACAGTGTTTGATTGGGCAATTCTGATCCATATCCTCAAAGTTTAGTTCACCCCTTTGGATTGCACAGTGAATCAGGAACCATATGGCCCGAGCTGATAGTTGGCTCATCCCGGTCATATTATACAGTACCTTGTTTGTTTTTACGTGTATAGAGTGCTCTTACATACAGTACCAGTCAAAGGTTTGGACACACCTACTAATTGAAGGGTTTTTCTTTATTTTTACTATTTTCCACATTGTAGAATAATAGTGAAGACATCAAAACTATGAAATAACACATATGGAATCATGTAGGAACCAAAACAAATGTTAAACAAATCAAAATATATTTTATATTTGAGATTCTTCAAATAGCCACCATTTGCCTTGATGACAGCTTTGCACACTCTTGGCATTCTCTCAACCAGCTTCACCTGGAATGCTTTTCCAACAGTCTTGAAGGAGTTCCCACATATGCTGAGCACTTGTTGGCTGCTTCCCGACTCATCCCAAACCATCTCAATTGGGTTGAGGTCGGGGGATTGTGGAGGCCAGGTCATCTGATTCAGCACTCCATCACTCTCCTTCTTGGTAAAATAGACCTTACAGCCTGGAGGTGTGTTGGGTCATTGTCCTGTTGAAAAACAAATGATAGTCCCACTAAGCCCAAACCAGATGGGATGGTGTATCGCTGCATAATGCTGTGGTAGCCATGCTGGTTAACTGTGCCTTGAATTGTAAATAAATCAGTGTCACCAGCAAAGCACCCCCACATCATAACACCTCCTCCTCCACGTTTTACGGTGGTAACTACACATGCGGAGATCATCTGTTCACCCACACTGCATCTCACAAAGACACGGCGGTTGGAACCAAAAATCTTCCATTTGGACTCCAGACCAAAGGACACATTTCCACCGGTCTAATGACCATTGCTCGTGTTTCTTGGCCCAAGCAGGTCTCTTCTTCTTATTGGTGTCCTTTAGTAGTGGTTTCTTTGCAGCAATTCGACCATGAAGGCCTGATTCACACAGTCCCCTCTGAACAGTTGATGTTGAGATGTGTCTGTGGCTTGAACTCTGTGCAGCATTTATTCCACAAATTAACTTTAAACAAGGCACACCTGTTAATTGAAATGCATTCCAGGTGACTACCTCATGAAGCTGGTTGAGAGAATGCCAAGAGTGTGCAAAGCTGTCATCAAGGCAAAGGGTGGCTATTTGAAGAATCTAAAATCTTAAATATATTTTGATTTGTTTAACACTTTTTTTCTCTCCATAGTTTTGATGTCTTCACTATTATTCTACAATGTAAAAAAAATAGTAAAAAAAAAGAAAAACTTGACTGGTAGTGTATATTTGTATTTTCTGTAGTATATTGTATACAGGTCAAGACAGTGGACATGATTTTCTAATCAGGACACCCAGTTAATAACCCATAAGATAAAAACAATCAATGAATGCAAGAGACAGACACAGGGAAGTGTTGTTTTTCATTCATATTTTTTCATTGTCATTTTATTAAAGACCGAAGCTGTACATTTTGTCTAAATTCAGATTCAAGCACAGTGCAGTTAGCAATGCCTGCAAATGAAAATAAAAAAGAATGAAAAGGCAGAGGTGATCACAACCATCAATATATACAAAAAGGTCAAACTATGTACATACAAGATATATGACTCACTAGGGCATTCTGACTGAGTGAATGTAGTCCGCCATTGCATTTATTTCAGAGCATTCTGCGCAATGCATACACGATACAAATAAATTGCTTATTTTTGTCAGTCTTTACATTGAAACAATATTAACAGAGGAAAATGCAGAATGGCGAAAAAATAAATCCTCAGCTTTAAAGGCCAGAACATAAATCAATTATCTAACACGGCATTCTGTGAGATGAGCGTAATTAATCTGCAGGTCTGATGTCATAGCGGTCAGAGCTGATAGTAACATCAATACTATAATATGTTACAGTGGCTGTGTGGAGGGAGCACTGGACAGGGGAACAAAACACACTGGAACACAGAGACAAGAGACCCTGCAATGATGAGTCTACTCACTAAATAGCCTGACTTACACACACACACACAGAGGTCCTAGACCACCAAGGGTGACAACAAGCAGGTACTCGAATGGACCAGGAGATGGTAGGAGCAGCCCAAGGAGTGCCAGTCCTACTGTGGACACATGCAGCCAACCTATACGGACAGTAGTTCATCATGTGTTGTGTATCAATGCTGTTTAAAGTCAAACACAGCAGGGACAACAACCTTAAGTAGGAAATACTATATTCATATCAAATTCTGCTAATAAAAATCCATAGTGCTTTACTAGTATTCATACTGCTTTCCTAGCCCAATATGCCAGTAAGGAGCAAGCTCTTACAATAGTGTATTTTACAGCAATGCTGTTGTGTTGCCAGAAAATGGAGGAGCTGTGGTTCTCATCACCCTCTACAGGGCAGCTCTCTCTCAGCACAGCCCTGAGGCTCAGCTAGAGGTACACTCCCGTTCAAAAGTTTGGGGTCACTTAGAAATGTCCTTGTTTTTGAAAGAAAAACAATTTTTGTTGTCCATTAAAATAACATTAAATTGATCAGAAATACAGTGTAGACATTGTTAACGTTGTAAATGGCTATTGTAGCTGGAAACGGCTGATTTTTTATGGAATATCTACATATGCGTACAGAGGCCCATTATCAGCAACCATCAGTCCTGTGTTCCAATGGCACGTTGTGTTTGCTAATCCAAGTTTATCATTTTTAAAGGCTAACTGATCATTAGAAAACCCTTTTGCAATTATGTTAGCACAGCTGAAAACTGTTGTTCTGATTAAAGAAGCAATAAAACTGGCCTTCTTGAGACTAGTTGAGTATCTGGAGCATCAGCAATTGTGGGTTCAATTACAGGCTCAAAATGGCCAGAAACAAATAACGTTCTTCTGAAACTCGTCAGTCTATTCTTGTTCTGAGAAATTAAGGCTATTCCATGCGAGAAATTGCCAAGAAACTGAAGATCTCGTACAACGCTGTGTACTACTCCCTTCACAGAACAGCGCAAACTGGCTCTAACCAGAATAGAAAGAGGAGTGGGAGGCCCCGGTGCACAACTGAGCAAGAGGACTAATACATTAGTGTCTAGTTTGAGAAACAGACGCCTCACAGGTCCTCAACTGGCAGCTTCATTCAATAGTACCCGCAAAACACCAGTTTCAACGTCAACAGTGAAGAGGCGACTCCGGGATGCTGACCTTCTAGGCAGAGTTGCAAAGAAAAAGCCACATCTCAGACTGCCCATCTTCATCTTTTCATTGGCCAGTCTGAGATCTGGCTTTTTCTTTGCAACTTGCAACTCTGCCTAGAAGGTCAGCATCCCGGAGTCGCCTCTTCACTGTTGATGTTGAGACTGGTGTTTTGCGAGTACTATTTAATGAAGCTGCCAGTGCAATTGATATTGTGACAAAGACCACCAAAATACATCCATGGGAAACGCTCCTTGAGCTATTATATTTATTAAACATTTCTGCTGAATGTTATTTGGTCATTTCCCTGCTGAAGACAATAAGACAGAAAATCATGATAAAATATTAAATTGATCATTCTTTTTTTCTGAGAAAACCACATTGGCTTTTTCTACTAATTCACCCAGACATACATTACCAGACACAGCAAATCAAATGTACACTGTTTTAGTTAAATGTAAACTAAGGAGCATTTGTTTCCCCTCCACACACACACACTTTGAATCAGTATCTATGTCAAGTATTTGTTGTCTGACCAGAGGCGCTAGCAAAGCATACACACCTCTTCACTTTGCCTGAGAAGCATCTAAACCACACTCGCCATTACATTTAGTCATACTCACTGACACTACAGTACTATACAACTGTAATCATTGAATCTGAGAATGAGTCTTGAATGAGATGTTAGCGAGTATTCCTTATATTTACACTTGTTAGTTTACACTTGTAAGCATGCCCTTGCTTGTCAGAATAAAACCCATAGGCTGGGGGACGAGGGCTCATGCTTGGAGGACGTATGTATCACATGCTATCCACTTTGTGCTTTGTCTCACAGTAAGAGAGGACCCAACAGCTAGAGAGTGAATACTGATTGAGGGCAACATCAGATGTCTTCAGTGTGCAATGTATACGATTATTGAAAATTTATTGATTATCATCTGCCATCTGAAAATAAACGGATCATTCCGTAAGTAGTGTACAATGCATGTGTACTGTATATGTCGGCATAAGCATAGAACAGCATGGTCAAGTGATTATACTGTACACGTGAAGAGAGTCCATAGATAATAAGCTGTATAGTACGCGCTTTAAGTCGGTCGCTATACTCTTCCAACAAGCGACAGACACTTAGATGTGTCGCTGAAAGATGTTGGAATATCTTTGGCTCAAGCCAACGTGAAAATGTCTTGGTTAGACACTGGATAGGTCCCCATCAAGTGTCCACACATGAAAGAAAGACGTACACATTAAATACATCTTACTAACCACATATACAAACAAGTACACACATTCTCTGTTCCAATCCCTGAGCTGCTGACACAAACCAGCCTTTTCTTCCTAGTAAGCCTTGCATGCTTATGTCACACGTCAGTCTTCACTCCGATTGGGCAGGAACAGCTGCCACTAAAACCAATTAGTCTTTACATAGGCCAGGGACTATTGTCTCAAGCCTTGTTAATAACTTGCGCAAACATGCGTCCTTTGTCCTGATCTTGTCCATGTTCTGATTGTGCCCACATTTTATGAAACAGATTTACACATGGTATTAAAATGTGTCTCATATCAGTCTACTGTGTCCGCAGATTTCCTGGTCCCTCCCTGTATGCAAATTATTTGACAGTTATTCTTTCAAATGAATATTTATGTATTTTAAAACACATATTGATGCCATAGGTCAATGGTGCCACCTGTCAATGATTTAAAAAAGCGGAATAATTATAATTTAAATGGTTTCTCTGTCCAGATCCGTCTACACTTCTAAGATATCCAGACACAATGCGTGCCTGATTACCTCTGGAGTTGGTCAGGAAGATCTGATCACAATGCGTCTTTTAGTCGTCTATACCGGTCTGAAAATGTGGGCACAATTAGAATGTGGACAAGATCAGGACAAAGGATTCATATTAGAGCCAGGCATAAACGGGGCTCAAGACAAGTCTGTGCCCTGATGGCCAATGGCAGCTATGGGGCTGTTGTCTCAGCCCAGCACAGTTCAAAATGACCCTAAATAAGGCAACACACACATTGAGCACAATTTAGGCAATGTGCCATTTTCATGGGAATTTGCTCTAAAATGACTAATAAAGAGGTCTGTAAAACTGACTGAGTAGCACAAATAAGACCATTACGTCTGATGCAGTTACCGTAAAACTTCAGAAAGTAACACTGCTACACAAAGGTAAATACAGATACAGCCATCATTTTACATGGCCAGTAATTAACCCTTTCTATGGCAATCAAACACTAGCCTGCTCAAGGTTCTTATTGACAGATGCTCCATGGACAGGCCTGACGCAGGAGAGGAGGGTCAGAGCAGAGCTAAGTCCTTTCAGTAGGGGGCAGTCCTACACCCTGCTCCACCTGGCTGGTGCAGTTAGTGCAGATCAGAGGTGGGACTCAGACTAGGGGTCAGTCAGAGCACCAGGATCAAGCCTGGCAGAACCAGCACTGTGGAGACCAGACTGACTGAGGGGAACAGATAGGAAACTGAAACAGGAGAGGAGATTTGGATTCTACAGTGCAATGACTGACCATGTGTGAGATGGTTGAGTTATTTCATCCTCTCACGGTCAACAACCTCTCACTGACTGAACTGTACAATACTAAAGTGCTGATTGTTCTGCCTGCGAGGAGGCTAGTACACAGATTCTGTAGACAACAAAAATAAAACAGATGTTTCAGAGAAACTGTTATGGACATGTACAGGCAATTGGAAACAGAACTCCAAAAAACAAATGTGTTGCTATACATGTGCAACAGAGTATTTGTTGTATATTTGTATAAACGTAAATTCCATTGGTATGCGTTCAGTATTTAGATTTTTTCCCCACAAAATTAAAATAATATCTGGCTGCCAAGCAAGCGTGTGCTTTAAAAAAAAAAGTATTTTATATATTTTCTTCGGTTTTTAAAATACAGTTTCGGCTGAATTGTATGTATAACTGAATGATCTATGAGAGCATATCTATTTAACCTCTCGCTCTGTATTGTTTTCTATCTATCCTTCCTTCCCTTGAGGAGGTGACGTCCCTATTTCTTCATCCTTTTCTTTTCCCTGTAACTCTAAATGATGCTCCCCAGGGTGGCCGAGGTGGGGCCAGACTCATGCGCCGGGGTCTCATTCAGTAAAAGCTCAAGCAAACAGAGGATCAGGCAAAGGTGGGGCATGGACCTGCATTGCAGCCCTGGAGCAGTCCTGGCTGGCTGGCGTCGTGGCGGAGCGTTAGGAGCGGTAGTCCTTTTTACTGTACGGCTTGTTCCCCAGGATGCTATCTACCTCGTGCGTGATTGAGGAGGATAGTTTGGGAAGAACCTGCAGGGGAAATTACAGATGCATTGAAGGAAACAGAGAAGGCAAGACATAGTGGTTCACTTGTTAAGACTGACATACTTTGTACCATTTGTATATATAGTTGTTGTATGTTGCCCCTGGTAATGTGGACATAACATTTGGAAACTAAATATCAAATGCACTTAGGAGACTACACATATGCTGAACATGCATACACACTCACACACACACACAGTACAGCCGTTACAGCTCTTGAACACAATGCCACACTGAATATAGTACATAATAAATAAGAACGAATACAAGATTCTGGTTCACAAATCCCACTTCTATTGAAATGTGATATTTGAACTGTTTTGCTTTATAAAAAGGGACATACGGGAGAACCTTTTAGGAATGTGACATCATTGTTATGGACTCAAAGGGGGTGGCAATTAAAACTGTTGATTGATTATCAATACCCATTGACACATTATGCAAATCTACACACTTTCTCTTGCTCAGACACACCTACCTGGACCCTCACTGTGTGGTCTCACCTGTATTGCTCCTATATTCTCCATCAGCTGGTCGGTGTTGGAAGCCCCCAAGAGGACGGAGCTCACCCCTTCGTTCCGTAGGCACCACGCTGTAAGGGACGGGTAAACAGCAATGACACCCCCATTTACAACACGTACACACAAGTCTTTCTCTCCCAAATAACCCTTTCCCTCCCCACCACTGCCTCAAACATACTAAACAAATATAGACCTCCTAACATAAACATGCTAGAAACATGTACTGTATAACACTGCCACGTACGTGTCACAAACACCTAATCATGTCTCTCCACAAAATATAACTACTAGACATGCACCTAGATACAATCACACAAACAATAAACATACCCTATCCTTCCTAACCATACACACCCAAAACACAACCCCACCTGTCTTTACTAATCTAGATGTGGGAGATGTGATACTGTATAAAATGATTAGTGTACTACTGTACTGAGACTTTGTGCCAGTGTGTTCAAACACTGTCAGTGTGGGATTAGAACCTCCAGACACACTGGTGATGATGAGACAGAGTCCACTTCCAGGAACAGGTCTGACCCACCAACACTCAGGCTTTCCCAGGATTTAACTTAACAACCAAGGTTTCCTCAGGTCAGGATGGGATGGGTATAGTGGATTACATGTATATGTCTAACAGATCACGGATTATTCACTCACTGGCCAAGGCTGCATTCAGTACGTTTTTACGTTCTGGAACGTTCAATTGAACGGAAACTATTCTGTACTGAATGACCAGTTGAAAAACGGGGAGGGGTTGGGTTGTGGGTCAGGGAATACTGTCAGAATAGCCACTGCCCCCTTTAAATACATCACTTATTGCTTCAAGCCATACCACGCCACACCCACCAAACGGGAGCAAATGTAACTCACAAGTCTGTTCAAGAACATACCAGAAAGTTTTGGGGAAACGTGTCATTTAGTACAAACCGTTCTGCAATGTAGCAAACGTTCAAGCGAACTGAACACACCTTAGGCCAATGCCATCTATGACGTCACACTGCTACTTTAACATACAACAGCCCTAAAGCTAGCTATCAACTGTGTAAAATAACAGGCTTTAGGTAACTAACGGGTCAAGCCAGGAGGTATTCTTTCCAATGTAGCGACTCTCGGGTGACATAGAATGGTGGTCCCGGAACATAACTCTGTCCAGGCTGTTTGTGGCAGTGCCACAGGGATTTATAGTGATTGGGAGCTACAAGCTGTCTGTTAATGAGCCGTGAAACCTAACCTATGACACTACATTACATGCGCTGTGATATGCAACGCGAAGTGATGTGTAGGCCCAGATTTACTCAGTTTCTCTCATCTGTGATGCTTTAATAGCCCTCCACAGAGCTGGGAATCTGTCAACAGGCTCATTCCCTCTCGCCCCAGTCGGCTCAGATTTATGTCTGAGATTCCATGTTACTGCTGACGTGGGGAATAAGGACACTTGCTCGTCGTATACAGACACACCAGCGCACGCGACAGTAAACTCACAAACAGAATCAGTAGCCAGTTGTTGAGCTGACTTTGGTTTAGGAAAAGCATCCTGGCTACTCTAGTGTCTCATCTAAGAACTAGTTTGCCACAAACAGACATACAACACAATACAGACAAACATTCTCACACACAAACCAACAGCTGATGACCATCTGGTTAGCCGCCTGATTGGCTTCAAGAGGCAGAGGGACGAGGAACGGACAGACAGACAGAAAGAGAGAGAGCGGCAGTGTGTGTCGGCGTACCGATGGCGAGCTGGGGCAGAGTGCAGCCCAGCCGCTCCGCGATTGCCTGCAGCTCTTTCAACTTTGCCTGCTGACGCCGGCCCTCCTCGCTCAAGATCTTGTCCTTCAACCACTGGTAGCCCTGTTGAAACAGCACACTTGCTAAAAAACACAGCCCTGTCCAACATTGAGGCACTGCACCACCTGTGTCGGCCAGGGCCTGCTTTTAAACACGTGACTCTGTTTTCTAGACCAGGCTCTGGTTGTCGACATTGACTCTACTGTACTCTGTCCTCTTCTACTGTACAGCCCCAGCAGGCAGAGAGGAGGAGGACTCTCTCTCTCTCTCATCTCTACCTGGTCAACTCTGGCTCATCTCTCACATTTCACACACATACAGTACAATCACACACGTTTGTTTTAGGATCTAAATAAATGTAAAATTATTGTTAAGATTGTGTATAATTCCTTCTAAACACTAAGACAATTGTTATTTTGCAAATATATGAATGTACATTAAGCATATTTCAACTGGCTAAAAAGCAACCTTGACAATGGGATTACATTTCCTGTGTAATAGCCTGTGTAATCCAATGATTGAAACAGTGACAGATCAGGAACAAGCAACCCATCAGTGATTGGATCAGCCACCCACACTGTTGTTGATCAGGTGCCAACAGCAGAAAATATGAATGAACGACCCGTTTGCAATACTCTACTCAGGAGAACATTAGCTACTGTACGTAGTGAGATGGTGAAATGGTTTCCTTAACTGCACAGGGTAAAAAGACCACAGCAACCCTGCATGCCTCTGCAACAACACAGGGACAGAGTAAGCCCTATTTTCTGTATTTGTGATGCAGTATATGTATATTGCTGTCATTTGATCTGTGTGTGTGCGGGTGAGTGTGCATGCACGTGCCTCTCTGTGTGTGAAATGTGAGATAAGATGCTTGTGTTGACACCACCAAATAACTGCTGGTGGTAGAGTTGCTACAGAGTTGGTACACAGAGTTGGTACACAGAGTATGCCGTCACAGGGCATTCAAAAACAAACACATCTAGGAGACACCAAGTTCTAGAACCTGAAAGATACAGAAAACAGCTGTTAAGACAGGAACCAGCCAGGATAAGAAGAGGGCTGGGGGAGAAGAGGGGCTGACATGACATATGAGCAGAGACCAAAGGAGAAACCAGAGAGGTGAATAGGGGGGCAGGAGAGGGGGGGGTAATGCTACCTTAAGAGAGGCGCGGGAGTAAGGTGGGACCCCGCTGTCATATTTCCCTGAGATGATCCCACAGGCCAGTGGTGACCATGTCATCGCCCCCACACCTGAAAACATGGGAAACATTGGGTCAGCGCTGTCACCATCACCACCACTCAGTCCAAATATGCTGTTCCGTCTATACTAAGCCGTCCAAAAAAAGGAGAGGACAGCATCCGGTATTTACCCAGAAAAGCACAAAATGGACACAGAAACCTTTGCGTAGATATAAGTATGCTGCCTCTACCAATCATAGAATTACATATTAGAGTTATAATAATGATACTATACTGAACAGAAATATAAATGCAACATGAAACAATTTCAAAGATTTTATTGAGTTACAGTTCATATAAGGAAATCAGTCAATTGAAATAAATAAATTAGGCCCTAATCTATGGATTTCACATGACTGGGCAGGGGTGCAGCCATGGGTAGGCCTGAGATGGCATAGGCCCACCCACTTGGCAGCCAGGCCCACCCACTGGGGAGCCAGGCCCTGACAATCTGAATTATATTTTTCCCCACAAAAGGGCTTTATTACGTGAAGAAGCCGGATCTGGAACGTATTGCCAAATTCTCTAAAACAACGTTGTAGGCAGCTTATGGTAGAGAAATGAACATTCAATTCTCTTGCAACAGCTCTGGTGGACATTCCTGCATTCAGCTCATGAAACATGGGACCAACACTTTACATGTTGCGTTTATATTTTTGTTCAGTGTAATAATTTTAAAAAGGTAGACTCAGCGAAATGACGTTGCCACGAGCAGCACCGCAGATATTGCAATGAGCAAGATGCAAGACAAAGTCACACACAGTATCTGCGCATGTGCACGAGTTTGCTTCATGTTAGCCTCGCGTTTCAAGGCTCTTAGTTGTTGCAGAAATTGACCCGCTATGCTGTTTACTTTGTCCATCTACGTCATATTGCTGAGTCTAACTTTAATAGCTATCTCTGTGTAGAAAATACTGTTGTGTTCTATCAGTCTGTCCAGACCAGCTCCACTCACCTATCTTATGGAAGAGCTCTGGTAGCTGCACCTCTACCTTCTCCCTCTGGAACATGTGGTACTCAGCCTGCTCACAGATGGGAGGGATCTGGTTGAACTGCCGTGCCACAGAGTACGCCTCCTACAGGTCACACAGGGAACAGCAGTGGTTAGCCAGTAGGCACTGGCCAATCAAACTATGAATAGTAGTACAAGGTTGTGATGCCCAGCAATCAATATTATGAAAGACATGATCAAAATATGTCACAGTCTATCACAGTCAGTGAGAGGATGTTATAGTTGTGTCATGTCATTGCCAGTGGTGAGAATGGGTCGATGACCGGAAGGAGAGGAGGCTGTTTGTGTGTCTCACCATGATCTCCATGGGGCTCCAGCGGGACGTGCCCCAGTACATGGCCATGCCCTGGTTGATCACGTGGGTCATCGCCCGCACCGTCTCTGCCAATCAAAAATAAGAAAATACACACACACACACACACTACAATGAGCAGAGAGACAAATGCTGTGTAGCGAACTGTTCTGATCCAAAGTAGAGCAAGTCAGTCAGACATGAACTAGTCATTTACAGTTTGCCTGATGGCCATGTTTGAGCTGGTGTGCAACCAAAACAGAAAGCGCAAACACAATGAGGATGAGTGAGAGAGAGAGAGAGAGAGAGAGAGAGAGAGAGTAAAATAGTGATTAGGAGAGCCTGTAACATTAACACAGCAGCATCACCACTCTCTCCCTCTCTGTTCTGTCCTCAGGCTAGTGACAGAGAGGTGCACCAGATGGCCAAAGTACTTCTTCAGGCGCAGGTTCAAACCTTTCCCTGTGAATTACTGCAGTTTATGAACTGTTGAACTCCTAAAAGGGCAGATGGGTAAAACAAAAGAAATGGATAAATCCAAAGCTCATGCGTATATTTTTTTACATACCAGCTATCCCTGGTTCAAGAGAGGCAGAAATAGAATGACAGGAGTAATGTTAGGTACAACAACAGTGTAGATGGTCTGTGTCAGGGCAGAGTAACAGTTACAGGGACAGTCTGAGTGTGTTCTAACCGTCCTACTGTAGCATGGCTCACAGTGGACATAGCCTAGATCAGATGAATACTGTATGACAGTGGGAGAACACAGAGTACTCTGTCATTTAAAGGTCTTCTTCAGACATCTCTCCAACTTTATATAGGATCGTGCAGTTAGGGTTTTTAAACAACACATTTCACTGCACCTATCCGGTGTACAGCATGTGACAATAAAACATATTTGATACAATTATTATTATTTATTTTTTGCTCCAGCAGTTTTTCACTCATATTTAACACTCCCCAGGGCATTAGACTGCTGCCAGTAGGGAAGGATGGGGTGAAATGAGGACATAGTTTCATGCACTACACAGAAACATATAGCCTAGTGAGTTAGGGTGGACATAGACATGTCAGAGAAGCTTATGGGATGGAGAGAACACAGCAGGAGAACAGAGAAGAGGCAGACAGCAGAAGCCAGTGACAGAGGAGGACCAAGATGTTCCTCCTTACCTTCCATGGGAGTGTTGGGGTCCGGTCTGTTTGCAAACACCACATCAACATACTCTAGCTGCAGTCTCTCCAGTGAGGCCTTTAAACCTACAACGACATGCATCATAGCCACAGTTACACACACTATTATTGTTCAGGGACATGGTTGCAGCCATATCTTATTGAGTGTACTATTGCGAGTACAGCCCAACTGATGTTATTTTGGGTCCGATACCAATTCTAATTTTTTTGGGGACAAAACGTACTGATACATCTGCCGATATACTGTTTTACGCCGGGAAAATAATTGTGAAAAATTTTTCCCACAATGAATTCTCTGAAATTGCCAATCAAAAGAGCAATTGTCCAAGAAATATGTCTTAAATGTTGATTTCTTACATTGTGACATTAATGGCATTGTGAGAATGGCTGCAAGTGTTCAGATAAGCATGAGAGTCCCTTTTTTTCCCCTCCCACTCCATTTATTGAATATCAGTTATCGGTGGACTTATTGGCCGATACCGATAAAAGGCCAATACCAGCCGAAAATATTGGTGAACTGATATACTGGTCGGGCTCTAATTGCGAGGTAGTGCTCAATATAGCAGCTAGGATTTTCAAATAAATGTGATTCTAATAAGGTGTTATTTTTCACAGAGAAAGAAGGAACTAGGATCATTCTCAGCAAGACTCCTAACCCGCCAGGAGAGTGCCCAATTATCAAATTGGAGTCTCTTCTCTCTGGAGCCAAACTGACTAATCAGGATGTTGTTTGATGCACTGTCAGCATTTAATTTCTCATCCTGTCCTTGATCTGGCTGGCTGGCTGCAGCTTACTTACCTTCTATAATGTGTTTTCGGGACAACCCTCTTTCAGTCTCTGCTCTATGGATCAAAAACATATTCCAGAATCAGTTGAATTACAGCAGAGAGCCACGGCAAGGCTTTATTTTCTTTCCATCATATCATTCCGTCCATCTCAGTAACATCACAATATATACACAGCTCAAAAAAATAAAGGGAACACTAAAATAACACATCCTAGATCTAAATGAATGAAATAATCTTATGAAATAATTTTTTCTTTACATAGTTGAAGGTGCTGACAACAAAATCACACAAAAATTATCCGTGGTCCTCTGTAGCTCAGCTGGTAGAGCACGGCGCTTGTAACGCCAAGGTAGTGGGTTCGATCCCCGGGACCACCATACACAAAAATGTATGCACGCATGACTGTAAGTCGCTTTGGATAAAAGCGTTGCTAAATGGCATATTATTATTATTATTATCAATGGAAATCAAATTTATCAACCCATGGAGGTCTGGATTTGGAGTCACCCTCAAAATTAAAGTGGAAAACCACCACTACAGGCTGATCCAACTTTGATGTAATGGTCCTTAAAACAAGTCAAAATGAGGCTCAGTAGTGTGTGTGGCCTCCACGTGCCTGTATGACCTCCCTACAACGCCTGGGCATGCTCCTGATGAGGTGGCGGATGGTCTCCTGAGGGATCTTCTCCCAGACCTGGACTAAAGCATCCGCCAACTCCTGGACAGTCTGTGGTGCAACGTGGCGTTGGTGGATGGAGCGAGACATGATGTCCCAGATGTGCTCAATTGGATTCAGGTCTGGGGAACGGGCGGCCAGTCCATAGCATCAATGCCTTCCTCTTGAAGGAACTGCTGACACACTCCAGCCACATGAGGTCTAGCATTGTCTTGCATTAGGAGGAACCCAGGGCCAACCGCACCAGCATATGGTCTCACAAGGGGTCTGAGGATCTCATCTCGGTACCTAATGGCAGTCAGGCTACCTCTGGCGAGCACATGGAGGGCTGTGCGGCCCCCCAAAGAAATGCCACCCCACACCATGACTGACCCACCGCCAAACCGGTCATGCTGGAGGATGTTGCAGGCAGCAGAACGTTCTCCACGGCGTCTCCAGACTCTGTCACGTCTGTCACATGTGCTCAGTGTGAACCTGCTTTCATCTGTGAAGAGCACAGGGCGCCAGTGGCGAATTTGCCAATCTTGGTGTTCTCTGGCAAATGCCAAACGTCCTGCACGGTGTTGGGCTGTAAGCACAACCCCCACCTGTGGACGTCGGGCCCTCATACCACCCTCATGGAGTCTGTTTCTGACCGTTTGAGCAGACACATGCACATTTGTGGCCTGCTGGAGGTCATTTTGCAGGGCTCTGGCAGTGCTCCTCCTGCTCCTCCTTGCACAAAGGCGGAGGTAGCAGTCCTGCTGCTGGGTTGTTGCCCTCCTACGGCCTCCTCCACGTCTCCTGATGTACTGGCCTGTCTCCTGGTAGCGCCTCCATGCTCTGGACACTACGCTGACAGACACAGCAAACCTTCTTGCCACAGCTCGCATTGATGTGCCATCCTGGATGAGCTGCACTACCTGAGCCACTTGTGTGGGTTGTAGACTCCGTCTCATGCTACCACTAGAGTGAAAGCACCGCCAGCATTCAAAAGTGACCAAAACATCAGCCAGGAAGCATAGGAACTGAGAAGTGGTCTGTGGTCACCACCTGCAAAACCAGTCCTTTATTGGGGGTGTCTTGCTAATTGCCTATGATTTCCACCTGTTGTCTATTCCATTTGCACAACAGCATGTGAAATTTATTGTCAATCAGTGTTGCTTCCTAAGTGGACAGTTTGATTTCACAGAAGTGTGATTGACTTGGAGTTACATTGTGTTGTTTAAGTGTTCCCTTAATTTTTTTGAGCAGAGTACATTTCACTAAAAGCCCATTATAACATCAGCATGGATTACACATAATCACATTAACCAGAGGGCCACTGGGAGAGAGAGAGGGAGGGAGGGAGCAACTCTGCATGGCATTAGATATATACTCTATTACAGTGCCAGTCACTCACAGCCCCAGACAAATTACAAACAGCAGTATATTTCTCATTCAGACACACAACCAGAGAAGAGATAACATACTTTCCACCCCAGAAGATCTTTGTTGTGATCACCAGACTGGAACGCCTACAAAGAGAAGGGAGAGAAAACCCATTACATGTGAGACCTCCATACCACACATAGACAATGAATCACAGAGAGGGTGTTCCAATGTGCTCTGGTTGACATCACAGAGAGGGCAGAGGGCAAGGCTGGAAATAGTGTGGTGGAATCTGGAGGTGATGATTTGCGTGCCCTGAGCCTTAGATGTTACGATTGGCAGGATGACTAAGCCTAACACACCCTTTAGCTACCCACATACTGCACGTACACAAAGGAGGTACAACACTGCCATGGGGCAGTTGGCTTGACCTGGCCTGGACCAGGGTTAGACCAGTGACCAGTACAGTACAGCGTGCACACACACACACACACACACAAGGTGATGACGTAAAAGAGAGGGTAAAGGAGACGCTTTCATTCCATTATTCAGTAGCTTTGAGGGACAAGAGCAGGAGCACGGCCATGGCTCTGCTGCCTGCCTGACTCCATTCATCTTTTATCTCTCTCTGCCTGCCTGCTGGAGCACAACGGAGCACACCACACTGCTCACTAGAGGAGTTATCAGGAGAGGGAGAGTGACGGGACGGAAATGAAACATGGCTCGTTATGAAAGTAACCTCCGTACGAACATACCTCCATCCTTTCTTCTTTATGACGTTCCCCAGCACCACCTCAGCCCTGAGAGAGGGAGAGAGAGATCAGATAATGGGCATAGTCAACTAACAACTACACATACCATGACGCAAAAGAAAACAAACAGAAAGCCTTTGAAAAAGAAGACATCACAAATGTGTGGTGGTAACCCTGAACAACCCTTCCAGTGTCTCTATAGACATATAACAAAGCCCTCCTGCAGCATGTGGAGTTAAACTCAGTGAGCTGGTAGTGTGAATGGGCTGCCTGGCAGGGTGCTGGCTGGTGTGTAACAGGCTCCATGTCAGTCAGTCATTAGCAGCAGTCGGGGTGCCAATTAGGCCCAACGTGGCCTCCATTAGGGCTGGGATGACTCCGGTCATTGGGAGGGAGGAAGGGAGCACCGGTCTGCAAGGCTAACAAATGCCATGTTTTCCTGTAATGTGAACTCTGTGTAGTGTATGGCAAGCACAAAGTGGCTGTGCTCCCCCTCTCTCAGTCTCTGAAACCCCCTCTTCCCCCCTCAGTCTCTGAACCCCCCCTCAGTCTCTGAACCCCCTCTCTGTCTCTGAACCCCCTCTTCCCCTACCGTCTCTGAACCCCCTCTTCCCTCTCTGTCTCTGAACCCCATCTTCCCCTCTCTGTCTCTGTAACCCCTCTCTGTCTCTGTAACCCCTCTCTGTCTCTGTACCCCCTCTCTGTCTGAACCCCCTCTTCTGTCTCTGTACCCCCCTCTCTGTCTCTGTAACCCCTCCTCTCAGTCTCTGACCCCTCTCTGTCTCTGTACCCCCTCTTCTCCCCTCAGTCTCTGACCCCCCTCTTCCCCCCTCAGTCTCTGTAACCCCCCTACTCCCCCCTTGTCTCTGTACCCCCTCTTCTCCCCTCAGTCTCTGAACCCCCCTCTTCCCCCCTCAGTCTCTGTACCCCCTACCCCGTCTTCTCCCCTCTGTCTCTGTACCCCCTACCCCCTCTTCTCCCCTCTGTATCTTTACCCCCTCTACTCCCCTCTGTCTCTGTACCCCCTCTACTCCCCTCTGTCTCTGTACCCCCTCTACTCCCCTCTTCCCCTCTCTGTACCCCCTCTTCCCCTCTCTGTACCCCCTCTTTCCCTCTCTGTACCCCCTCTTTCCCTCTGTACCCCCTCTTCCCTCTGTACCCCCTCTTCCACTCTGTCTCTGTACCCCCTCTTCCCCTCTCTCTGCTTCTCTTTCCCTTATCCCTCTCTCCCCCTCCCCATCAGATCTCTCTCTGCCTGTATGCGCAGGGGGAGAGGGAGGGCCATTTCTGGAAGGCTAATGCCAGATGTTTGCATCTCTTCCCCCTTGTAGGCCCATGTCTTCTTCATGAAGAGAGGAGAGAGGTTCTGATTGTATTAGTTTGTGTGCGTTTGTGGCAGTGACATACTATGCTGTACTCGGCTCCTTTGAAATTAGTGTTTTAAGAGAGAGAGCAGATGGTAGAGGTAGAGTAGGTTTTAAACTTAATCTGTAGATCCTAGGTTCAGCCCCTGACTACTAGTGTTGCAATGGTGGTGGTGGTGTCTAAGTAACGTTCTCTTTATAGATTACACATTCTTATTTCCTTCTCAAATTGTTTTCCACTGCGTCATTTCCATAACCTGCATTTTACATTGACTTTAGACAATTATATGCATCAGAGCCACAGAGAGTGGCCATTGATGCAATTAGCCAGCAATATAAAGAGGGGGGGAGTGGGTTGATATTGATAAGTGTGTGTGGGTGTGTATTATATGTTGACAGTATGAAGAATACAGACAAGATTCAGTGCATGGGCTGCACCATATTGTTCATGTTTTTGTTTGTTAATGGTGTGTGTGAAGCAATGTTCCCTCTAAGCTGCGCGTGTGCTCAGTAGCACCGAGACTGCCACACTGCTCCCCGGGACTGCCGTCCAGAAATATCAGCCCACAGAGAGAAGAACGAGATTGAACTTCACTCAACTTTCTAGAGCAGTGGTCACCAACCGCTCGATCACGATTGACTGGTCGATCTCCAAGGCATTCCTAGTCGATCTCCAAACATTTCTGTAAAAAACCCAACGATAAAGCCTTGTGTTCCTATTTTTTTATTAGTCTCTGGCTGTTGGCGGTAGGTGCACCCGATTCAGCTGTTGCCATTTTGAACAATTTAATGTGTACTATAGGCCTACCGCTGGCCAATCAGATGGCTCAGATGACCGTGTCTGCAGTAACATAGCAGGCATAAAAGAAAGCTACAGCAAAGATGATCCTGTGAGATTTCAGACTAGAGAAAGACTGTCAACGAATACAGCAACGAGATGTTTAAATTCTTAAATCAGCACTGTCAACACTTTGTATTCAACACTTTTATAAGCCATAAAATGTGTGTTCTTCCTATTTCTACTCAGAGCTACAACAAGCACTGCAGCAGTAATTAATGAGTAGGAAAGTGTATAGATAGGCTTGCGTTGTTGTTATTATTAGCGGCTTGGGTCTTTTTTAATATTGAGGAATATATAACTTTCTCTGTTCATAGGAGTAACATGAATTTGTGCATGAGGCAGAAATAATGCGGTGCGACTCGAGTTTCGCCATCATCTGGAAAACGGTGTCCCTTTTTGGTCAGTGTAAGTGGAGGAAAGGGAGAGCAGAGGGATGTCGAGAGGCAGACCCTCAGTCTGCTGCTCTCTCCCTTCGCTGAGACTGACCATCACATGCAGGCACAATCAGCCCAGTAAAATAAAAATAAAAACCTAATTATTTAAATGTATGCTTACTCAGCTATGCGTCACAAGTAATACAACAACTGATCTATTACCAGTGTGATCATACAGCCTACCTCAAATGTTGAATGGCCTGAACAACAATGCATTGGCAGGGCAATTCAAACAAAGCCAATATGCGGTGATAATGTATTAGGCCTATAGCTTACTGCACAAACTTCATTGCTACAGTACTGTTTTTAATTGGTTAATGTTGCATAGACTTCTGTTTTTTATGTCATGTTAAAAAAAATCTGAGCAGTAGATCTCGGCTTGCATTTTGACTCAGTGATCTTGACTCAGAAAAGGTTGGTGACCATTGTTCTAGAGTCTTCCCTGTTAACACTATCAATGTTTCCCTTTACTGTGGCAATTGTGATCGAATCAACGCAATATTAGCCACTTTCAATGCAACATACCGAAACAAAACGAACTATGCAAGAGATTTTGTTGTAGGCAGAACGCATCGGAGTAGGATTCTATTGCATTGACATGCATTACTCAGCTCGTACACTACTCAGCTCGCGCAGCATAAACAATCAGAGCTGCAGTAGGCCTATATGGAAATAGACCATTGCCATATATGGATCTGTGCCATTTACTTTGAACTGGACTGTGTTTACAGCATGAGCGGTCGTGAGTAGACGCGCTTGTTTTGAGATCAAAGCGAGAGCTGCATGTAGCCATGTGTGCACATTTTGTTCATATCCTTTGCTAGTTAGTGAGTTATTAGCCCAGTTATAGATCATTTGTAGTCAGCAATAGGGGAGTGATTGCTTCCTACAAGTGCACAAAACGTATACATTTCTTGACATCTTTGAAAAGCGAGTCGGGTAAAGGGGCTGTGTTGTATTTTGAGACAGGCTTGAATGAGCTAAGTAGCCAATAGGCAGCATTATTCTCTGTAATAATGGTATGGGAATAATAATGTATTTTATTTTGTAAAGTGGTTTCTTGCATCAAACAACACAACAACATTTCCAGTCACCTGTTTTTTTTCTCAAAAGTCTCATGGAATGTAGGCCTCCATTGAACACCACACATTGGCTGCTACTGTAGGATGAATGATAGAACAGCTATTTCCATGTTAATGTTATGAATTTTCTCCATTGTTTTTGATGGTAGGCCACTCTGGTAGGCCTACATTATGATCAAATAGTCACAGTAGCCTACATGGCCACTGTTAAAACTAACTTAAAGCGGGTACAGCCTCAGTGTTCACAGTAAACGCGCTGGAAGTTGCACAGAATTTAGCAGATCTGAAATTAGCTCAGTGCCCAAAAAAAGTAGAGGGAAAATTGGTGTGAAGGGGTGGGTTGTTAAAGCCATAGAGTTTGTGCTAATGGGTCTACACTTACACTATAGTATGTTAGTAAGCGTGCGTTGGTCCATAAGCTAGCTGTCAATCGATGTACTGTATAGTGTGTCCCTGTCAATATGTTTCAGTGACTCGGTCATAGTGGCAGGGAAAAATACACAGTGCAAACACACATATGTACTAACCCACAGAACCAGGCATTTAGCTGCAGCGGGGCTGCAATTGGGAGCCTCTCTCCCACTCTCTAACCACTCTACCAACCCAAAATGTTGACTTTGTGGCAATATCAACAGTGAGGCCAGCAACACATAATTATCCCCATATCCAGATTCAGTCCACTTTACTGAGTTTGACTGAAGAGCTGACATGCTGGGTTCTGACAGACTGTCAGGTCCATTTGCATGCCACACAGATCTGTCACTCTGTTGATCTGCCAGTTCTAATGTCACCATTGTGTGGAATGATGATGGTAAAGGTCAACTTTATTTCCCTTGTCCTACAAGTCTGCCACCATTTCCTTATGTTGCAGTTTGATATGTATCCTTTCCACAGCTCAGCTACAGAAGCCACATGTAAGTAAATATTCAAAATAGTGCTGAGTGATTAGTGCTTTTTGAGATCGGGTCTTTTTCGGTTAGATTATGAAAAAATATTCACGATTTTCAATTTCGGTTTTGATAAATGTTTTAAAACATGAAATACACTATGCATTATGTGGGTTGAATGCTGTAACACAGAATAAAACAATTAATAAAAGTCCCATGATGGTAGTGACTGCCCGTTACTGCTTATCACTTATTAACCATCATTTATTCACATTACTTTACTTTAATAAAATATTTTAGTTGTTGTGTATATTACATTTGTTTTATTTGATGACTATTACTTCATTCCAAGTCATCAACGCATCTCTATAGAGCTGCAGCCTATGCTGTCTGACAAAATCACTATTTTAGTAGTTCTTCAAAGTAAATAAGGCATACAATTATGAATGCTGAATACCAACTATCAATCACTTAGAATATGTGTTTTCTGGTAAAAATACCTTGCGAAGCAACTGCTCTCTATGTATCCCTATTGATCGTGCATTCTTCTGTCTCTTACGTAGCAGGAGTAAAAGAAACACCGAACGGACACGTAGGCACGCAATAGATTATGGTCATTGTAGTTAATCATCACATTTTCTGCGCTAAACTATGTAGAACATTGGCCTGTTGGAAACTACAACTCCCTACTACATCGCACAGTTTGGGCGTGATCTGATTTATCTCTAGAGAAGCTGCAGCACAATGTGCGCATTGAGCTCAAAAAACAAACAAACAATGGAATTAAAATAATTGAACAGTCGTTGGTCAATTAGTTGTTTAAAAAACGAAAAATAACTGACATTTCGCTTCATCACTCAGCACTAATTCAAAATGATAAAGCCATCAACAATTTATGTGGTGGCTGTTGTTTGTCTTTTATTTTCTTTCTTCAGTCTTTTACATAATATTAACACCTTGGGAAATGTGCCTGATGCCACAATGAGAGCCCAGTATTTTCCTTGGGGAGGATTTAGAGAAGAGTTAGAGGCTGTTAATCTGAGGTACTGTTGGAAAGGATAATCCCTCAGATTATTTCAGTTCATCCTTACTCACAACAAAGATCCATTAATCCAGGACAGTGTATACAGCTATCTGAGGAGATGTTATAAAGCCCTACCAAGGTTAGAGTTGGCAAAATATCACTGTTTGGGTTCAACTGGTATTAAAGCAATCATGAATAATCGACCCTTGACCTCTCATCAAAAATACCACTAGAGCTCAGTATGATGAGTGTTATAAATGAGGTGTTTCTCCCCTCAGGTCTGGAGCTCAAGGCTACAGAGCAAGTAATCACTCATGTTTATGTAAACAGTTTTGCAGGCTTGACCTGGTCGCCTTGTCCAAGGCACGTGTGGATTAAATTGTAAGGCCTTGTATTTGCAAACATGCCTGCCAACTACCTACGCGGGAGGCCGCAGAGGCGCACAAACTCACGGTAAGTGCATCAGTGTGCGTTTCATCTGAGCCTCAGATACACCGAACCAGAGGTTTAATCAAATTTAATGAGATCTCTAAAGATGTGTGATGATCTGGGAGACTCCCTCAACATGCTGTAGGCTAACACTGGAGAGACTGGAGACCAGCACCAGCCTCATTGATACTAGATGTGAGTCTACACCACATCCTTTAGATGAGTCCCCTACCTCATTAATAAACACACTCATACATTCATTGCCACCTGTTAGGTCAGCGCTCGTTCAAACACATTACAGTACATGTGTTAGCCTATGCTTTGCTTGGCTATGTGGCTGTGTGTGGTATGATCCTGTGATTCAGCGGTCATTGATATCTAAGTGATGTCTGCATGAGGATGTTATGTGGACAGTCTGGATGATACTCACTTCCCTGCGGCGTAGACCTCTGCTGTGTCAAACAGATTTATGCCGTTCTCGTAGGCCAGACACAACAGCTGCTCCGCCATCTGTTGGCCGAGAGTGGCGCGAGGGAGAAGAAAGAGGGGGGGGGTCAAGAGATCACTGATCGGTGCTTAAGTGTTTTCAACTATTAAAATCCGGGCTGCATGTATGAGGTTGTAACCGCACGCTTCAGTGCTATGGCACGTGTGTTGGTTCTCTGGCTCTCTATGTGTCAATATGTTTGCAGTGTAAGCAGTGTTACAGTCTGTTACAAGTCTTCCTGAGCAGCAGTGGGCTGTAGAAGCATGTAGATAGTTGTGAAACTGGAGAGTGTTGACTGACTGATAGAATAACAGAAAAACTCATCTGCTCTCACCTCATCTGTTATCTGCCCTCCGAACGTCACCCATGTTCCTACAGAGAGATGACAGGGAGACCGTGTTAGTAGTCTATCAGACTAGAGATACATAGAGAGAGCAGTGTTGAAGAGGCAGTGATGCCACACGTTGATTACTGTAGCTTTTTAATTACAGTTATAAGAGATGAGGCTTTGGCACAGTTTGCCATAACAGTGTTAGTCAACAGATTGAGGTCTCAGCTGGCATTTCTGACATATCTTCACTCTCCTAGATATCTGCTAGAAAAATAATTTGGTGTGAAATAAATTCCCTTTGTGTATTTCTGGTGAAAACAACAGCAGTCTGGGTCACCTCTAACACAGTTTGTTTCCTAGCCCCTCAGCACCCCCCCTGGCTCACACTCACCTAGACCAAGGCAGGACACCCTCAGGCCAGACTTCCCAAGGTTTCTGTCAGAATACAGAGAAAACATTATCCTTAATATGGTGCTGATAATGACACTGTACTTTTTAGTGCTGTAGGTTTGAGATAGTCAAGCTTTGTTTAAGTAGTTCCATACTTCATGACAACTAATGTATCTGTGTCTCCACTGACACAGACTACTGGGAGGTTGTAACAACTATGGCAGTTGACAATCAAGACAGCTCATGAAGAAACATTATGTCTCTCTCTGTAGTCTGGATGCAGGTGGAGGGGAGCAGGCACACGGATGCCTGCCAGTATGATCATGTTCCTGTGGCTGTGTGCATGCGTGTGGCCATGTGTGGATAGAGATTCCACTGGAGGGCTGACAAAGGAAGTGGGTCTTAATCTGGCCCAGCATGACATCCTGTGGAATATCTCAGTTCACACCAGGAAGCCCCGCGCCTCAATCCCCTATAGCCAATCACACGCTTCGACTCCAGCTCGAACCCCTACAGCAATTCCCAGTCCCTAGAGAAAACGTGGCACCTCTTTCACCAATCGCAGCTCAGACACAGACTCTACAACTGACACACATACAGTTTTGGTTTAGTTCTCTTTTACCTTTTAGCCTAAAAAGTCACAGGTAAAATGAAGAGAATACCCTGGAAAAACCTGCAGTAGGTAACAGGCTTATTCTAGTGTTATAAATTCAGTGGCTCAAAAAGGCATATTTCTTTTTTGTGTCCTGTGCACGGCAAGCCGTTTATCATTCACATTTGGCACATCAACATTACGCAAGTATATTAAATTATTAATTTAGGCAGTATTCAAAAGATTGAAAGCCTCAAGGTTGCATAGCTTTCTATGCGGTGCATTTAATAGGCTAATATAATTTCACCAGGGCCGCTCTGTCATGGCCAATAACTTCAAAAACATTGTGTCAAGGCAACACAGAACAGTGAACCACAGGGCAAGACTTGAGGCAGCGCTAGGCTACAACCTTGAGTGCTGCACTTGTCATAATGGGTACACCACAGAAATAAATATAACCATTTAATGTCTTTCTATGGGGTACACAATGTACCTTGTTCCTTCCTTCCTAAGCTCTCAATACGAAGAATCCAATCCAAATATGAGATCCTTAAAGCCGATGACATAAGCTCAAAACACAATGAACCATTCCAACTAAAAACCGTGAGTAGAGAACCTTGAGTTGCCATCTGCTAGAGATAAGTAAGATGTGTGGGATATGGAATGATGTAATGGATGTTGTGGGAGGAAGAGTGTGTAGGTTTATGTGGGTGGTCTGTCTAATTTTGTAGGAGTATGATTGTGTGTATGCGGTTATTATTGGAATATACATATATGAGAGTGTATCCATGGCTGTGTGTGTGTGTGTGTGTGTAGGATTATGAGTGTGTGGGTGTCTTGTGAAGCCATGTAGGTTTTCTACATTGCGGTGGTGACTAAGAACAAAACAATCAATTTATGTTGCTCTGAAACAGCAAGGGGATCCAAAAAAGCCCACTTTACATGTGGACTGAAATTCAAAATAAACTAGCACCATAATATCAGCTTTAACAAGCATATGCAGTCCAGGTCAAGAAGATTCTCTCCTCAAATGTTGGGTCCTTTAGGGTCTCTTTCATGATATCTTATCATGTGTTATCTGCAAGTCCAGTGCACAAAGAGAGGAAGAGGCGAAGCGAGAGGGCCGACTCCGCCCCAAAATCTGTCTGTGCGAAAATAAAGGATGGACGTGGGGATTTTTTGTACGGAGGTCAAGGAGAGTATCGAATTTAGTCCAAATAAAATGTAATCGCTCATTTGCTACGTGTGGCCTATATAATCGAATAGAAGTTTCGTAATGCTAAGGTTGTTACAAATGTACTAATATAAGTGGACGTGCGTGACATAACGCCAACTTTGCAAAAAGTGCCACCGATAAGTTTGCTAAATTAAGAAAAAATTGACAGATGAAGACATACGGGTGATGAAAGCAGTATAACTGAGGGGAACATTAACGATGTAGAAGTTCGCTATGATGTATCAGATTGTGTTTGCTAGCTAGCTAACGTTAGCCTGAGACGCAATCTCGTCAACAGCTAACTAAACTAACTAATTGTAAATTAAGGCACAAATACCTCAGATAAAGATAGATATACTAGAGTATGTGGACACCACTTCAAATTAGTGTATTCGGCTATTTCAGCCACACCCATTGCTGACAAGTGTATAAAATCGGGCACACAGCCATGCAATCTACATAGACAAACATTGTCAGTAGAATGGCTTTACTGAAGAGCTCAGTGACTTTCAACATGGCACCGTCATAGGATGCCACCTTTCCAACAAGTCAGTTTGTCAAATGTCTGCCCTGCTAGAGCTGCCCCGGTCAACTGTAAGTGCTGTTATTGTGAAGTGGAAACATCTAGGAGCAACAAAGGCTCAGCCACGAAGTGGTAGGCCACACAAGCTGACAGAACGTGACCTCCGAGTGCTGAACTGCGTAGCAACACTCACTACCGAGTTCCAAACTGCCTCTGGAAGCAACATCAGCACAATAACTGTTTGTCAGGAGCTTCATGAAATGGGTTTCCATGGCCGAGTAGGCTACCTGCCCGAATACATAGTGGCAACTGTAAAGTTTGGCGGAGGAGGAATAATGGTCTGGGGATGTTTTCATGGTTCGGGCTAGGCCCTTTAGTTCCAGTGAAGGGAAATCTTAACGCTACAGCATACAATGACATTCTAGACGATTCAGTGCTTCCAAACCTTGTGGCAACAGTTTGGGGAAGGCCCTTTCCTGTTTCAGCATGACAATACCCCTATGCACAAAGCGAGGTCCATAGAGAAATGGTTTGTCGAGATTGGTGTGGAAGAACTTGATTGGCCTGCAGAGAGCCCTGACCTCAACCCCATCGAACACCTTTGGGATGAATTGGAACGCAGACTGCGAGCCAGGCCTAACCGCCCAACATCAGTGCCCGACCTCACTATCTATCTATCGCATTCGGAAAGTATTCAAACCCCTTCACTTTTTCCAAATTTTGTTACGTTACAGCAATTTTTTTTCTCCTCATCAATCTACACACAATACCCTATAATGACAAAGCGAAAACAGGTTTTTAGAAATATAAATAATATAAAAAACTAATACCTTATTTACTTAAGTATTCAGACCCTTCGCTATGACACTCGAAAATTGAGCTCCGGTGCATCCTGTTTCCATTGATCATCCTTGAGACATTTCTACAACTTGATTGGAGTCCACCTGTGGTAAATTCAATTGATTGGACATGATTTGGAAAGGCACACACTTGTCTATAAGGTCCCACAGTTGACAGTGCATGTCAGAGCAAAAACCAAGCCATGAGGTCGAAGGAATTGTCCGTAGAGCTCCGAGACAGGATTGTGTCGAGGCACAGATCTGGGGGAGGGTACCAAAAAATGTCTGCAGCATTGAAGGTCCCCAAGAACACAGTGGCCTCCATCATTCTTAAATGGAAGAAGTTTGGAACCACCAAGACTCTTCCTAGAGCTGGCCGCCCAGCCAAACTGAGCAATCGGGGGAGAAGGGCCTTGGTCAGGGAGGTGACCAAGAACCCAATGGTAACTCTGACAGAGCTCCTCTGTGGAGATGGGAGAACCTTCCAGAAGGACAACCAATCAGGCCTTTATGGTGGCCAGAGGGAAGCCACTCCTCAGTAAAAAGGCACATGACAGCCCGCTTGCAGTTTGCCAAAAGGCACCTAAAGGACTCTCAGACCATGAGAAACAAGATTCTCTGGTCTGATGAAACCAAGATTGAACTCTTTGGCCTAAATGCCAAGCGTCACGTCTGGAGGAAACCTGGCACCATCCCTACGGTGAAGCATGGTGGTGGCAGCATCGTGCTGTGGGGATGTTTTTCAGCGGCAGGGACTGGGAGACTAGTTAGGATTGAGGGAAAGATGAACGGAGCAAAGTACATCCTTGATGAAAACCAACTCCAGAGCGATCAGGAACTCAGACTGGGGTGAAGATTCACCTTCCAACAGGACAACGCAGGAGTGGCTTCGGGACAAGTCTCTGAATGTCCTTGAGTGGCCCAGCCAGAGCCCGAACTTGAACCCGATCAAACATCTCTGGAGAGACCTGAAAATAGCTGTGCAGTGACTCTCCCCATCCAACCTGACAGAGCTTGAAAAGATCTGCAGAGAAGAATGAGAGTAATCACCAAATCCAGGTGTGCCAAGCTTGTAGCATCATACCCAAGAAGACTCGAGGCTGTAATTGCTGCCAAAGGTGCTTCAACAAAGTACTAAGTAAAGGGTCTGAATACTTATGTAAATATGATATTTCAGTATCTTTTGTTTTGCAAAAATGTCTAAAAACCTATTTTTGCTTTGTCATTATGGGGTATTGTGTGTAGATTGATGATGGAAAAAAACAATGTAATCCATTTTAGAATAAGACTAACGTAACAAAATGCGGAAAAGTCAAGGGGTCTGAATACTTTCCGAATGCACTATCCATCTATCTATCCATCTATCTATCCATGGCACCGGTCTGTGTTTCACACCTGTTTGTCTAGCTAATCAGTTTTGCAATATGGGCACCATGTTGCCAGACGGGAAGTAGGGGAAACGTGCGCGCAAAGTGAGAACAAAATATGTCATCCAATTTAGATGTTGATTTGAGGAGGAGGGCGTAGCATCTAAACACTGGATTTAACAGATTCTTGTTCACTGCTCGGCAAAGCAAATGACGACTTCCTAATCAGAACAGTCTACCGATTATGGATATAGCTTACGACGCGGGACACATGGTGCTAGCAGGTACAGTCATTGGACCCTGAGTTATCCTGAACACATTCACTATGGGATACGATTAGAGCTCGTCTTATTAATTACTGAAATAATTAATTAGAGGTCTAATATTGGGCTAAGGTTAACTCCGCTCCCCTCAGGCCCACCACTGCTACTGATCTACAATCAACCAGGTTTTAATTGCCTTAGCTAGAATGGACCATGGGGCATTGGTTCCACCTCGTTTTAAACAGAGATAACGCTCAAACAAATAGCT